ATCGTCTGGAATCCCTTTGAACAGTTTGCACTGAAACTGTCTTTTGAACCTTGAACTGTTTGGTGCCCAGTAAAGTGCATTATATGGAGAAAAATCCTGGAATGTTTTCATCAAAAACCTTAATTTCTTTTCGACTGAGTGGGTGAGTAAATTATCAGCAAAAGTTTTTTTAAAAGTGAACTACTCCTTTAAGGAGATGAAATGGTTAGAAATGGACTGGTTCTTTGAAATGAAATATGACATACTATTGTTTTTTATGTTTCTTCAGGATGTGAATGATCGCTGGAGTCTCGAGATCCCTCAGCTGTATGTGCCAGGACAGTTGAGCCAGTACTTCAGTAAGCGTGCTTTCATGATGTGTGCGCTTCACAGCTGTTACAGCTCTCTGGTGCTGTTCTTTGTGCCTTACGCCGCTACGTATGACACGGCGAGAGACGACGGGCGAGACGGTGCAGACTATCAGTCATTCGCACTGATTACTCAAACCTGCCTCACCGTCACTGTGTGTGTACAGGTTAGTTTAACCTTAGGTTGCAGGTGTGTGTGTGTTTTATTCATTTGATTGGATGGTTCATTTTCACTAATTTGAGCTTGTTCTGCTCTATCTTCCCTATAGTTGGGGCTGGACCTCTCATACTGGACTGTTGTTAACCATCTCTATGTTTGGGGAAGTTTAGGAATGTTCTTTCTATTGACTTTTGCCATGTATACTGATGGACTTTTCCGGTTGCGTCCATCTTCGTTTGCATTTGTTGGTAAGCAGGACTTCCATCATCTCCATATAATTGTTTGTTATTTTATTTTAACCTGTCATTGGGTTCAGACAGTCACAAATCAATTGTCGCAGTATATATAGGTATTTATCATTTTATAAAAAAAAATGTTGACTGTTTGATTATGTTTTGGTGTTATTTCACAGTTATCAGCTAATAATATATATGAAGAGTTCAGATGCAAAGCCTCTAAGTGCCATTTGAAATTTTCTTCTAAAATGATCATTTTTATCAAGCTTGTATATTTAAGTTCAGTAATTTCACTTAAATGGCAATGAAGATTACCTATTAATTGTCATTTAAGTGAAATTACTGAACTTAAATATACAAGTTTGATAAAATTGTCATTTTAGAAGAAAATTTCAAATGGCATTTAGAGGCTTTTGCATCTGAACTCTTCATATATATATATATATATATATATATATATATTATTTTGTTTCTAGCTTAACCTTGTGCATTTATTTCACAGTAGTATGTGACAATAATGTAGCATACTATAATGTGAAATGTGTTGGAATATTACATGCTCTACTTTTTAAGAAAATTGAATAGTAGTGCAAACAGAGTCCAAACTGTGTGTGTGTGTGTGTGTGTGTGTGTGTGTGTGTGTGTTTGTTGTGTCCAGGAACTGCCCGGAATTGTCTTAACCAGTCCAATGTGTGGCTGACTGTTGCATTGACAGCTCTACTGTGTGTGTTGCCTGTGTTTGCTTACCGGTTCTTCTGCAGCCTGATTTATCCTACAATCAATGACAAGGTATAGAGTTACTTCACTCTACTGCATATTATTGATCTTCAACATACTGTTATGATTCCAACCTGTATTCCTGGACTTTTATGTTATATCCGGTCTTGCTCCATGTTTTGCAGTTCCTTGTTACTTTAATGTTGATTATTGACGTCACTTTCCCGCCTGAACAACCCCCCTCAGCCTGACTGAGTGGCAAAAGATCTGATGCGTGACTGGATTTAATAGGGGAAACTGCGACTAAAACAAACAATTTTATCAATTTAAACTAAATGTTGGACTCAATATAGTGTTCCGTACAACTTACTTAAGATCCAGTGATCCATGGATATTGACATGCAGCCAGGAATCGTGTTGCCTGACATTTATGTTTGCCTGGGGAAATAAAAGCAATATATAGACCTAAACATAAAGCAAATTTGCCTGTGAACGCTTTATATAAATACAATATAGGTAGGTCTAAATTGGGGTGATCACTTATATCAGTGTTATATATATTGCCTACATATACCATCATATGTCCAGCCCTAAAACTTTATAGTTTTTTTTGGTCAGTGTTTATTAAAAAACATCCAATAATGCAGAATATGCAATGATAAATATTTAACTGATGAGTTAATGTAAATCATCTGTGCGATTAGTCTCTCTATATCATCTAAAACCTTTTTAAAATGTTTAATTAAAACACAATCATCCTTTTAGTTACTTTGATATATTTTGCAACTCACATTTGTTGTCATTCATTTTACATCAAATTGTAGGCCTATTCATCAATTCACTTTTAAAAATTACTATTATAGATCCTTTCTTTAAAAGGATTCACTTTAAAACTTCAATCTTTTGACCTGGTTTTTATCTCTCATTTCTCAGACGAAAAATTGTAATGTCGTCATTTAAACACGGATCTACTTCCAAACCCACATTAATACCAGAAATGTGTTGTCTGTTATCACATTTTAAAACACATTCTCGGTGGGCATTTACAGTTACGCGTTTAAATGATCCTGCTGACCACAATTAAAACACTCTCTATCTGCTCCAACTTACTGCACACACTTGAAGCAGTGTGTGACCCATTCAGGAATTCATCAGTTTAACTTTAATCACTTGCTTAGGGAAATTATTCCCGCCCAGAATTTATTTGACTTGCTTTTTTGTTAAATACAGGTGAGGTACAAGGTGTGTAAGATGAAGGAGCCCGCTCCCCGCCCACGACACACCAGGCTTACCCGCAGGAGCACGCGTCGATCTGGTTACGCCTTCTCTCACGCCCAAGGTTATGGTGACCTTGTGACCTCTCGCAGATTCCTGCGGCGACCTGCACTTGTTAGCTCCACGGGATTCACTCCTGCAGGACGCTCTCCTGGGTTTAAGCCCACGGGTCGGTCTGCGGGGTACAGCCCGGTCGGGCGAGAACAGAACCCTAAACAGAAAGTAGAACCCACGTCGCTGCGGATGTTCCGTGCCGTTAAAGACTCTTCCTTTTGAGGGTGCAGCTTTTAATTCCGAGCTAGAACCAAAATATTTGTACCGTTTACAAGGTTTTAGCTCTTGAAGACAATTTCACAGCTGCTGTTTTGTTGATATGCGTCTATATATATAGCAGTATATACACAAACACTAAGAACAGTTATTCCTTAATGTACGAAATCTTGTTTGCATAGACACACTTGTCACTCAAAATGCATGTGCGGTTTACAGCAAGAACAAACTGAAATACCCGTAATGCTGAAGGACAGCGAGTACTTGGTCTCTCTAATGTCATCACTACTATGGGAATGACTTGCACACCGATGTCACAACGAAAGTCAAAAAAGAGTGATCTCAGTTCAAAACACAGTTTCCTATTCTTTTCCTCTTCCAGGTACTGTCCACTACTGCCTTTTGACATAAGTCCTGAGTTACAATATACACCACACCATGGCCCTCAAATAGTTAAGATCGGACTGACATGTTCAAGGACGTTGTTAAAAATAAACGTCAGCGCTCTTTTTTGGGAAGTCGATTCAGAGTCATACGCTACAGTAACTGACAGCAAAGGCTTAACACGTATCTTGCCGTCATTACCAATTTGTTATCAGCTAGAATAATCATATACTACTCTTCTGGTGTTTAGGGTTGTATTAATGTATTCATCACTGTGACATTATAAAAAACAAGACCTTTTTAGAGAGAAAGGATGGGAGTTTCGAATTCTGAAGGTTACAATACGTTTACAACAGTCTTTCATTTCAAAAGATCAAGGAATTTGTTTTCTTTGTTATAACTTCAACTCAGAGCTCGAAAGACAGTATTAAATTCAGTTTCACAGACGGGGCTTAGATTAAGCTAGGCCTGGGCCTTAGTTCAATAAGGACATTTAAGTAGTTTTTATAAAATGCCTTAGAAAAAAAACATTACTGGTGTGCATCTTGAGACAAAACAGTGGCAGTGACATATTTTAAGATGTGCCAGTACGAGTTGCCTTCAGTTAAAACAGCTCAAACATGCATTTTAGTCTGGGACTAGGTTTAAGACTTGTCTGTGAAACCGGGGGATAAGAGTGCCTTTCATGTGACTAGACTTTAGCACAAGGAATCTACTTTTTAATTACAGTTTGTTAATATGGTTTGGGAACAATGTACAATTATTTTTTATAAATGTATTTTCAATGCAGGAAAGAAACATTAAGAAACGTTTACTTTGTATACTAATATCGTATCCATACTCCAATTGTACTGTACTATGCAAATCATTCTGTAAAAGCAAAAAAAAAAAAAAAAAAAAAATGTATACAAATAAAAGGCATTTTTACATTTGTTTTTATATTGTTTAAACGTGTAAGTTTGACTCTTTATAATAGGTTAAGTTACATTTAAGTTAAGTCTATATTCTTGCTACTTTGCAATTGGCTTTTATGTTAAAGAAAAATATCAATAGCTCATTTAAGACAGCAAAATATTTAATGTGTTATTTTAAATTATAAAACAATAAATATATTATTTAAAAAGATATTTAAACAAATATTTGTAAAAAATTAATTGAATATTTATTTTATTTAGCTATATTACATTTGGGCTATTTACAAAAATATTGGACTCATGGACACTCAAACTGTACATATGCCGTTTAAAAATGACATTTTCGGACCCGTTGGTTAAAAGTAATGTGAAAAGTAAAGTTCTTGCATCATTTGCCAATTAATCAAGCAGATGCCCATTTTTATCCATGCAATGACATTAATACTCAGCAACAGTGTGCCCTAAATGTATAATTTTGGGAACAACTGTTTCCCCCAACTATACAGCTAAAATTAGTTGGGTCCCCAGACAGATGGGTCCTTAAACCATTCATGAGACATGCCAGCTATTTAACTCAGTCCTGAGAGTCAAGGCAGGCATTCTTCGACTGAACAATGATAATATGCATCTCTAGTAATGACTTGAGAGTAGGCAGAACAAAGAGCTGCCTGCAGGGGACCAAGCAGTCCAACACCCCACCCACCCCTACGCTGTCAAGCGGCAGGCCACAACATCCGACCGACGGCGGTCACCTGGACCCAAAATATGAGATTTGTAACCTTCTATCACCTTAAAGATGTCCAAAAGTCACAATTGTAAGAGGACGCACTGTTAGTGAACGCGCGAGGGAGGGTGCACGCGCTTCATCCTGACGTAGCGCCGCTCGCTCCAGCGCTGCTCCGCTCAATACCTTCATCACAAAATCAAACCAAACGTGGCGATCGTTCGCCGTGATTTGACATCGTGTGATCTCCAGAGATGACATTTATTGTCAACGTGAGTATAAATGTGGATTGCTTTTTATTTTAGAGGTAATGTGATAAACACGGTGTGGTGAAAGCTAACGGTACTGCCCGCTGGCAACTCTTACATCACAGCTGCTGATTCAGATTTAACCAAGACGGTAACGTTACTTTTGTTAATTATTAAGACGGAAATAACACAACATTACCGGGTGTTGTTATTTGAAACATTTTAATGTGGTAGCCTAAGATACAGCAGTTGGGGACGTGTGCGCGTGCACTGTTCTCTCCGCGCATATACGCCCGTTTCTACGCTCCCATATTCGTTGTTAACATTAAAGGTTTGTATTATGAGGTTTTACTGCATTGAATGTTGTTTTCTAAGTCTTTAGATTAGTGAATGTCTGGAATCATGGCCTAAAAGAGGCCCATATAAACAAGCGGTTATTGACACGCTGTAGGTTTCTAGTTTTTGGTGCTGATTTGACATCATTTAATTAGCCTATGCTTCGTATTGGCCTTTATTATGATGGTACATGGTATTTTCTTTATTAAAGAAAGAATATACACATGTTATAATCACTAAATAGGCCAACAGATGCAGAGCGTGCTGCTGTTTGTTATGTCAAATATGCCATATGATTCGCGTGAGGCCTGTGTTTGCGCATATCGATCACAGCGCCAGCGGTTTGTGAACCATCACCACATGATAACCTCGGGCTTTGTATTAAACGCGATAATATTCGGAGGGGGGACAATCGATTTTAGCGAACAAACAGACGCATATAGGCCTGTTAATGTAACGTTACATGTGTGTGTTTGTTAATTTGCGATTTTTCAATGTTGGTAACTTTTCTTCTGTTGACTTTAGTTAAAAAAAATAAAAAAAATAACCCGGAATAGATTAAAATACATTTGCTTTTTATTTTTAGTATCTATCTTTGGTGTCATTATCATAAGGGTTAAGAAACAATACATTTATTTTGATTATGTATATTTATGGTTAATTTACTTCTAGCTTACAAACAAACAAGTATTTAAAAATGCACCATTAATACATTTTTGATAAACAATATGATCTTTATTCTTAGAATGTTCTAAATGTTGCAATACAGATGAAACAATCTGAAGAAGTTACTTTTTTCAAGATTTTACAGTTGTCAAAAAAATATCACTCAGTACCGGCATTTCATCTATAATTACTGTTCTAATGCACATTACATTCCAATTAATTGATCGCAGGCCTAGTTAATATCTTACAAAAAACATTTCTTTGACTGTGTAACAATCTCAATTTATTTTGTGTTATATAACGGACACAGACTGAAATCTGTTTCTTCCTGCCTCTGAAAGAACTTTCTAGTCCGATTCCATTAAACAAAAGCAGCTTGTGTTCAAGAGATGACGGGGAGATGTGTTCATTTAAATTTGAAGCGTATTATTAATTGTGAGGGGGTAAAACTGACTGTATACTACAGTTTTTGGTTTTGCATACTATTTTTCATAACAAATACCATAGTTTTATTAATTGAAATCATAGTTATATGAGACTTATAAGGGTGTTTTGGGTAATGTGAATAATTACAGAAGGGGTTTTCCTTGCTGAACAGGAGCTGGATGTTTACTTTCATCACATTTATTTTCTACATCCATGCTGAAGTTCCACATTATTGAAAAAACTAAATTTTTTATCTGTAGAAGTCAATTCATAGACATAGCAACTCATTATTTTCCGACTATAAACTTTAACATTTGCATGCTTTTAATACAGCTTCAAGTTTCCTAAATGGCTGTTTAAAAAGTAGCTCTTGAAATTACTTTTTTTTTTTTTGTCATTGCAGCCTGTAATTCAGTTATTTAGTCTCTCCTTATTGTAAAAAGAAAGGGTCAATAATTTAGAATAAAATTGCATATTAACCTTGAATCATCTAAATAAAATTTTCTACTAAAAAACTATATGCACTAAAATTCACTACTCAGTTGCTTAATAAAAAAAAACAAGCTTTGTTTTAAAAACCTGAACATCTGTGTTTGTGTGTGAGAGGCATGCCGCCTTGTTGCCGTCTGTCTGCAGCTGTTTGTCTGATCGTGTAGTTAAACGCCCAGTCTGTGGAATGTAGTAGCTGTCATGGCCTGTAGTTATATAACAATGAGACGAGAGAGAGAGTCTGTGTGTGTGTATTTTCTGCCCCTTAACCAGCCTCTCTTTCTTATTTCCGTTTTATTTACAGCGGTAGATTAGGAGGTTGTGATGTACAGTAGCTTGACTGGTGCTAATAATTTCAGCCAAATAATTGCCCTGGTCAATTTCACGGTCTATCATTTGTTGCTCCCTACACTATTTCTAAGTAGCGTGTGACTGATTTGCTGAAGTCAGGCTAAACTGAGTCATGAATTGCTGGAAATAGTTGCATCAGACTGTGTCGACTAATTTCAGGTCTAAGGTATATTTCAGTATTTCTCCTGCAGTGTCAAGCTGAAAGTGGAATTTATATGCATCCTGTTTTGCTTCAACAAATTTTGTTGTTGCGACCCTGAGAACCAATAATCTTCGTTAATTTTCTTAAAGTTACAAAGAAATGGAAGAAGCATCAGATATTTTTTCCCCGTATTGTGACATACAGATTATCGGTTTTAAGTCTGAGCTTGCAGTCAATTGTAAGAACAAAATGATTGGAGAAGTCTGTCATTGATTTTAATTTTTTTAAGAATTAGCTAATAGAGTTGCAAAGTAAAATCACCTGTGACACTATTTATGTGAATATCTTCTAATACATTTCAGCTAGGAAATCTCGCAGACTGGATGACAGATGATTTAAAAAAAGAAAATAGCCTAAAGCAATGTGATCCAGAATATATTTCTTGTCTTTAACACACAGACTGGCAGGAACACATGAGTGTTACGTAATGGAGTTTAATCTGTGTCAGACTGCAGGGTTCGCATTGACAGAGAATCGTTTGCTGTTGAATGACGCATGAATCTAATGGGCTCCTCTATTTTGAGGAAAGTTTTCCGAGCAACAAATGTAAATTGTAGTGACAACACTGGCCCAATAGACCCAAGACTTCTGTCAGCCTGCCCAAAACTCTCTCATATTGGCCCTGGGCCATCCTTATGGTTGAGGCGTCCACTACATAAAAAAATAATGCTAATAATCTACCATTATAATACATCAATGTAAGTTTAGGCAAGTAGAAAAACCATAATAATTTTTTCTTGGAATTTATTTGCACTCTTCTGGATTATGTCATTAAATTAGTCTTGTGACTATACAATGGTATCTATCACCAACACTCTGGCAAACACTCATTGAGGCTTTTAGATTATGTAAAATGCTCTACTGGCGGCATGGTGGCTCTCTGGGTATCACTGTCGCCTCACAGCAAAAAGTTCTCTGTGGAGTTTTCGAGTTCTCCCTCCCTGTGCTCTGGTTTTCCCCTCACAGTTCAAAGACATGCAGGTTAGGTGGATTGGACATGCTTAATTGGCCGTGTGTGTGAGTGCCAACCAATGTAATGGGGAGGATTGGGAAACGACCTGGCAACCTACACCAGAAAAAAAAAAAAACATTACCACGAAAATTCACGGACAGTCTTGCGTATGTCGTAATCACCAAGAGTTGGGTACAACTGAAATGGTTAAAGAGAGTGAATAAGAATATGATCTACCACTCCACAGAGATGATTTTAGGTCATTGTCAAGGTTTGCTTTTCCTCTGCCTGTTACTTTTTGCTGTATCCATCAACCCCAACTACAGGTCACTGATCCTCAGCCATTCCCTCCTTCAAGACTTCCAGCTGTCTTAAATAAGCTCCCTTCCTATCTAGTGAATCTCTTTCAAAATCAGCACCATTTGTACACCAGAATAATACTTGAATATCAGTTTGACCAAAATAAGAGCCAGGGTGAGAGCCATGGTCCTATGGTCCTAATTTCTTCTGGCCCGTAAATAAAAGTTGCAAAATTGCCAAAAATGATCACTGTTAGAACTGAAAGTGAGAGACTGTAGTTATATGTAGACCTTACCATCTCCATTACAAGTAAAGCTCTTATTATTTTAAAACGATTTACAATGTGTTGTAAAGATCTGGAAAAAATAAACCATATGTATTTCACTTGAAAATGATTTTTTAAAAGTTGCAATGTAGAATGGTTCTCTTCACAAGTAAAATGCCCTGTCCTTTTATGAACACCAGATAACGTCATGTCGTACGTGAAGACAATTTGAAACTCAATCCTGTTTTGTCTTTTTTTTTCCAGATGTTTTCCTTCCGCCAAGAGATCCTCTTTAAACTTTTCTTTAACGTTCCTCACTCTCCAAAACCACGGATTGGCATTGGACGTGTGAACTAAAGTCCTCTGAAAACCACCTTCTGCAAATATCCAAACATTCTTTGTCCTCACCCACACCAGGAGAAGATGGACAGTCCACCTAAGCTAGCCGGGGAGACACTTATTGTCCACCACATTCCGCTGGTTCACTGCCAGGTTTCAAGCTCACGACAGTGCTATGGTAATCCGTTGAAAAGGAACAGTAATCCCTTCAGCTGCCCAGAGAACCTAGGATTGATTCGGACAACCTCCCTACCTGAGAGAGACATTCTTCAGCGGGAGGCATTGGTATACAGCAGCCTCATACAGACGTCGAGCAGCAGCCTTAGCTCTAGTGATACTTTTGGGGATGGAGGAATGAGAGGAGGAGAGAAACGAGGAAGAGGAGGGAGAGAAGGGAGTATGGCAAGCGACACTTCCTCTTTCACCTCAAGCAATTCCGAAGATCAGACTCAAGGCTTGCCAACGAAGACAGGTGAACGGCCAAACTCTAGACGTAACCCCTTTCTGCTCAACACTGAAGATGAAGATGATGAGGATGAAGACAATCTGAATGGATATTTGGAAGACTCCTCTTTTCACCTGCATGGAAATTTGCATGAAATCTCAAATTCAGTGCTTGCAAATGAAGACTTGCCCCCTTTCCATTTACATGACTTTGGGTACACCACTGAACCTTTTCTCTTGCATGGGTCTACAGAAAAACAGTGGTGTTCTACAAATGGGCCTAGTGGGGAAGCAGAGACCAGAGGCCACACAATAGGTGGGACTTTTGATTTGTCTACTCATATGGAGGGCCTAAACTTGCTGAGATTAGATAGCCAGCGGCGCCACGGAAGCAGTGGTTCCACCCTTTCAATGGACTGTGGTGAGCAAGAATGGGGCGAGGATGATGATTATGAAGACCAGTCCATGCAGGGCGGTAGAGGAAGTTCAGAATGTTCCAGTCTGGCAGCACCACGCTGCTCCTGTTGCAACCTTTCTCAGCCATACCCTGAACCTTTTCAGGAATCATTCTCTGAGTGTCACCAGGGCTACGGCAGTGATTCCTCCTGCAATAGCTCAGATGGAGTGCTGGTCAACTTCAGCACGATATTCAACAAAATGAACAATGTTGTCCCGGCCAAGCCGTTGTCCAATATCAATAGTTCTGGTGAGCAATCTTGTGCCTCATCTGTGTCTGGGCTCATTGGGATGTGCGGTACAGAATGCAGCAGTGGACATGGAGCTTTCTACCTGGACTTACACACGTCCCCGATTGAACCCCCTCAGCATCCTTCGGCCACTCAAGAGCATGCAAACTCTTCCTCTGTATCTCAGCCACAAGGTGCCACTATGGAAGTAGATGCCAACTGTAACTCATACCACAACCTCCTTGGAAGTGAGGGACTGTCCTCTGCCGAAACCTCTGCCAATGACCTCACCTCGTGTCTTCAAAGCCAAGCTCGCTTGGTTGTAGCAACACAGAATTACTACAAGCTTGTGACGTGTGACATTTCTTCCCAGTCCTCTCCCAGTCCGGTGGGATCATCGGTCACAAGCTGTTCAGATGAGCACAGCAAAGGAAGCCCCACTCAGCCAACAGAGTACTACCTATTTCAACAAATGAAAGAGGACGAAGACGAGGAAGATGCAGAACTGGTATATTATTTGCTTTATATGGTGTTGACTTGTTGGTTTTAGCATTTTGTGCCATGCCTCATTATGTACTCCATAGCAATATGACACTACCTTGAACATTGTATCTTTTTTCTTTTCTTTTACTAGAATGAAGAAAAGGATCCAACTGAGACTGACTCTACCCATGAGAATATAATTGAGGGGCAGGTGTATATCAACATCTCCCCACCTATGACAGCCTGCAATTCAGTTGGTGCTTCAGGGAGCAGTCGACCTCTTTCTCGCAGCTACGATCGTATCCTGGACAAGTCTCCATCTCCTCGCCTTGGATCCTTGGAGCGCATGCTCAGCTGCCCTGTTCGGCTCAGTGAGAGTGCAGCTCCAAGTCCACCTCCTCCACCACGTGTCACTTCTTTTGCTGAAATAGCAAGAAATAAGAGGAGAACTGGAGGGTCACCATCACAGAGGGGTGGCATGGAGGCCACGTCCACACACTCTCACTCTTCTGGAGAGTTCTCACCCATCCTGGAAGGCTTTCCGCAGGGTCAGAGCCACAGTTTGCCACCACTCACTCGATGCCATAGTCAAGGGAGCTGTGAACAGACTCGAACCATAGCAGAAGGTAAGAGAAATTTATCTCCAATATCTTCTAAAAAAGAGAATTGTTAAATTGTTAGGATGGAGGATGGTTGAAGTGTTGTTTGTAAAAGCTGTTTTATTTTTTGTGGTTTCGTGGAGTTGCACTGTAGTTTCTCGGTTGATTTTGGGACTCCTCTTGACTATTTGTTGGTTTGGGAGCAACATAATTTCATTTTATTTACTGTGAATATTTCTCTAGCATTTCAAACCTAGCTAGTAAGCATTATTAGTGTATTCTTAGTGATTGCCCTTAACATGATTGTTTGCTTTATTATCCAAGCCAATTTGGTTAGCATCTGCTAAAAACATAAATGTAAAGGTACCACTGTTTGTTTAGCACGTTGATCTGCCGGCTACTAGGATGTTCTGGGTGGTTGCTAGAGCATTTCTATGAAATTCTTGATTCCTTACTGGCCGTAATTAAAATAGTCCACCTAAAGTCTCTGATATTCTGGTCTTCTAGATACTGTATGACATTGGACTCAAAATGTAAATTCAGTTTATTCCTTGTGTCATTCCCAAACTATATGACTTTCCTCCATGTAATACAAAAATGTCTCCAGAATCTCCTTTCATTTTCTGTGGGGGATTTGGATGTCATGTGGGTTTGGAACAACATGAGGGTGAATAAAATATGACAGGTCTAATGTTTGGGTAAAGTATTATGTTATATATGTCTTCTTTTTTAATAGCCTGCCAGGTGAAAATCAAGTCTGATACCTTAGGAAAGTACTAGCTAATACTAGCTTAGGAAAGTAACTGTCTTCTTCAAGCTGCATTATTTTAAGGTTTATTTAATGTCTGTAGCACAAGTAGTGCATGAGTTGCATGCTCAAGTTTAATACTTAGATTAGAGGGTTTGAGAAAGCAAGAGAAATAGGCAGTGTTAAGCAAGCTCGTGTTGTGTTACTGCAATGGATGTTAATTCAGCTTAATGCTGTGCTGCCCCTGCTGGCTGTGACTGAGTACAGCAGTGTTACTAGGAGCTAAGACATATGAGTATCCAGGCATGTGGAGCCAACAGTTTGCGCAATAGCCGAGTGACGTTTCACGCACACTGTGTGCCGGTCAGAGCACACACAAACACACATACCCAGAGGTGTACACAGACAGAGGAGCTTCATAAACAGGCTGTTTTAGACATATTATCCTGGTTGTTTTTGTATCTCTTTTGGTCATTCAGTTTTTGGAGCAGTGTTTTAAGGTATGTGTTTGACAGAATTTGATGTTTCTTTAAATAGGTTTGGTTATGTTTCAGTTTCATAACAAGACTCTGTTGTCTCCTTTGCCATTGCAATTACTACTGCTGAGTTTTATTTCAGCTGTTTTAAAATGCTGTGTCACTGGCTGCCATACCAATTCTCGTTTAAATTTAGGCCAGATCATTTTCTTATTATAATTATATTTATTTATGACATTTATTTTCATTTATTATGATTTAGATGCATAGGTTCATGTCTGCATTACTGTCTTGAATGCTACTCTGCCAGAGATTTTGACGCTTTGTTCTTAATTTTTTATATTTCTTATTTTCCTCACTTGTCTTTTTACCCCAGGTGGCCTGTCTAGCTCCACTGACTCCTCTCCAGTTGTAATTCGCTATAGCAAAAATCAACGTCCGACCTCATTGCCTATTCAGCCCTTCACTTTCCACCACCAGTTTGGAAAACCCCAGGGAAAGCCTATCCTTCCTCTTCTGGACGGATACATCAGCCATATGCAGGCTCGAGGGGCTGCAGCACCTGAGGGTGGTGAAGATGAGTCAGAAGAAGACCACAAGTCACCTCACGACAACTCCAATGCACCTACAACAGTGCGTCCGTCTCCATTGGGTAGTTACTCGCCTGTTCGCATCCAATGTGCACCCACCTCTTCTGGAACCTGCTCGACATGCACTCCGACCCCAGGTGGTCCGAGGCCGCCACGTTCCCTCTCTTGCCCCATCTCTGCTGGTCTTCTGCCCCAGCATACCCCAACTGGAGTGGCCATACGTACAGAGACTTCTAAAATCACTCCCTTACCTCCTACACCGCCTCCACCTCCGGTGATGAAGCAGAGTCCGCTGATGCCTGCTTTGCCCACTAGAAGTCACTGTTTCCACCGTGGCAATTTGCCAACGCTTCCCAGCTCTTGTCTCAGTCCTCTTGGAAAGTTGGAGCCAGCGCCACAGGAAGAGCCAGTGAAAGTTTTACCGGCGTGTGTGACACAGCGACAGCCTAATGGTAGGTTAAAAATTAGTGAATTCAGGCACAGTTCAAGATACTACTGTGTTGTATATGACTTTATAAAGGAAATGTTATGAAACTTGAATTATTTAATAGCATGAATTTGGTTTGCCTCGTTTATATATGTACACTCACCTAAAGGATTATTAGGAACACTTGCATTTAGGGGTGTGGTCATGGTCAAAGTCAAGATAATCTCCTAAACTCCAAACTGAATGTCAGAATGGGAAAGAAAGGTGATTTAAGCAATTTTGAGCGTGGCATGGTTGTTGGTGCCAGGCGGACCAGTCTGAGTATTTCACCGCTGAGTTACTAGGATTTTCACGCACGACCATTTCTAGGGTTTACAAAGAATGGTGTGAAAAGGGAAAAACATCCAGTATGCGGCAGTCCTGTGGGCGAAACTGCCTTGTTGATGCTAGAGGTCAGAGGAGAATGGGCCGACTGATTCAAGCTGATAGCAGAGCAACTTTGACTGAAATAACCACTCGTTACAACCAAGGTATGCAGCAAAGCATTTGCGATGCCACAACACGCACAACCTTGAGGCGGATGGGCTACAACAGCAGAAGACCCCACCGGGTACCACTCATCTCCACTACATATAGGAAGAAGAGGCTACAATTTGCAAGAGCTCACCAAAATTGGTAAATTGCCTGGTCTGATGAGTCTCGATTTCTGTTGAGACAGTCAGATGGTAGAGTCAGAATTTGGTGTAAACAGAATGAGAACATGGATCCATCATGCCTTGTTACCACTGTGCAGGCTGGTGGTAGTGGTGTAATGGTGTGGGGGATGTTTTCTTGGCACACTTTAGACCCCTTTGTGCCAATTGGGCATTGTTTAAATGTCATGTCCTACCTGAGCATTGTTTCTGACCATGTCCATCCCTTTATGGCCACCATGTACCCATCCTCTGATGGCTACTTCCAGCAGGATAATGCACCATGTCACAAAGCTCAAATCATTTCAAATTGGTTTCTTGAACATGACAATGAGTTCACTGTACTAAAATGGCCCCCACAGTCACCAGATCTCAACCCAATAGAGCATCTTTGGGATGTGGTGGATCAGGAGCTTCGTGCCCTGGATGTGCATCCCACAAATCTCCATCAACTGCAAGATGCTATCCTATCAATATGGGCAAACATTTCTAAAGAATGCTTTCAGCACCTTGTTGAATCAAAGCCACGTAGAATTAAGGCAGTTCTCAAGGAAAAAGGGGGTCAAACACAGTATTAGTATGGTGTTCCGTATAATCCTTTAGGTGAGTATGTATATATATATACATATTAGAGTTGTCAAAAAGTATAGACTTCAGTACGAAGTTGGTACTAAAATGTAAAAATTGTGACTCTTTGAGCGCTGTTAAGCGGAACCGTAAACACATCTTATGAGTGCTTGAACACAATGGCCAATCAGAAATGTCTGTAATTTGCTACAATGATCAACGCAAGGGAGCGTCTGAGAGCGCACGGAGGTGTTTAAAAGTGGGAGTTGTATCTGTGTAAGTGCTCAGAGCAACATGTATTTGAAGCGTTGATCATTGTATCCAATCACAGAAAAATCAATTGAGTACAATGGTGATTCTGCTCAACAGCACTCAAAGCATCACATTTTTTAAATTTCAGTACCGACTTGGTACTGAGTGGGTACTTTTTAAACTCTAATTTATATTTTATTTTTATTTTTTGCTTCTGAATTGAGTTGTATAGGCCAAAAGAGCCTTAGCTCCCATACTTAGACCTTGGCTTTTCTTTCCTTAAACTGCTGCTAACAACTTCTCTTTTCTGTCCCTCCTGCTTCCGCTTCTGCCCATGTTTTGCATTGCATCGCTTTGGCATTTCAACAATTTCCCCTTACCCTTGTGTCTGTTCTTTCCTTTTTTCTACTTTTCCCTGTATATGTTCGTCCATCCATCTTACTGCCCATTCACCAATCCTTCATTCGTTCTCTTCATATTCCATCTATCATTTGCCACCATCCCCTTTTCCTTCCATTTTTCCTTCCAGTGCACCACCTCTCCCCCCAGGCACTCAAATGGAGAGAGTACAGGCGCAAGAACCCTCTGGGTGTGGAGCGCAGTAAAGACGGCCATCGTTCTCTCTCTTGTCCTTTGGAAAACAAGACACCTGGAACTCGTGTCATGCGACGCAATGTGTTTGATTTCCCTCCAACCAACCAACCACTCAGCTTCGGCAGATTTAATGGTGCTGAACCAATTTCTGTGACCCAATGGCCGATTAGGGGAAGAAGCTGGAAAGGGGGCTGGGGTGGGGGTCATTTTGTTTGTAGTTATTGAACACTTAGGTTTGACAATGATGTTATCTTTAGTCTGTTTTATACAGCACACTGTCTGTTTGTTGTATGTTTGCATTTATCTAACTGATGTGGTTTTTGTTTATAGGTCAGTCATTGAGGCAACTGCCCCAGTGCTACAGCGACTTTCTGCCTGATTATTTCTCTCAGACAGAGCGCCCCCCTGAGGAATTCTGCTTATCTCCTGATGCTAATACTGACGAATCAATTTCTATAGACCTGTTGCAGAAGAAAGGTGTGTGATTTTTAGTTTGTAGTAACACTTACAGTGGCTCAGATATCCAGATATTTTAATTTAAGCAATGTCCAGATTGACCTTTATCTCCATAGTAATATATACAGCAATGTAATAACACATCTGTGGTTAGATATTGTGGTGAGCCCTTTAGCTCTTAAATGAAGCATAGGAATATTACAATGCAGTACATACTGTACATCACTCTCACATAAGAATCTGCAGTAAATGTTAAGTGTGCCCTGGGGAGTAGAATGCAGAAGAGATCTAGGTCTCTTGACGTTGTTCCCACTGGGTCCACCTGTCAATCAAACATGGCCCATTTGCTCTCATCTCACAGATTGACAGGTCCCATCAATGAGAACTGCATTAGTGCAGCATGACAAGGGTGTGTTTGGGTGTACATACTCTTAGTTGGAGTTTAATTTTATTAGATAAATTAAATAATGTAATATGTCCTTTTCTACTAGGTTTGGTGAAGGCCATAAACACAGCAGTGGATCTGATAGTTGCTCATTTTGGCACCAGTCGGGATGCAGGAGTTAAGGTACTGTATTACATTTAAAATAACAGAGTTAAACTCATTATACTTGAAGTGTTAAATTGAAGTGTCTCATTAAAAGCTTGACCCTCTTGTCCACTTTCACTCTTATAGGCCAAATTGGGCAATAGCTCTGTTAGTCCAAATGTGGGTCATCTTATTCTAAAATACCTGTGTCCTGCCATTCGTGAGATACTGCATGATGGGCTGAAAGCGTATATACTGGATCTGATCATTGGACAGCGCAAAAACCAGCCCTGGAGTGTGGTCGAGGCCTCCACACAACTCGGTATGAGAAGAATGGTGATGATGATGATTATTATATAGATGAGGATGAAGGAAATGATTTATGTTTATCCTTTCTGTCCTAGGTCCCTCTACAAGAGTTTTGCACAGTCTATTTTCTAAAGTCAGTCAGTATTCTGAGCTGACCAATCACAGTATGAGACTCAATGCCTTCATCTTTGGCCTGCTAAAGTAAGCCTCTTTCATGTTTCGCTCTCTTTTCATCTCCCTGCTTTCCCTTTCACTCTTTCTAATCACGTTCATCTTCACACTGCCTGTGAAAGCACTTTTTTGTACCTTTCATCATTTTTTGCCTGTTAAAGCATTTACATCTAATTTACTTTCTTAATAAACATTCTTTATTGTGTAACACATTGGATTCCTGTCAAGGTTTTCTGGTTGAATATAACCTTTCAATTGGAAATGCGTCACATGATATCATTATGGAAGCAAGAATGTTGACTTTAAAATGGACCCTTGGTTTCCTCTAAGCTATTTGATTCCTTTTATATTTATCAAATATTCTGAGGGCACGGTTTGAGAGCGCACAGTATTTCTTGATATGAATAAGGTTGCTGATTCTCAGATTTCATCTGCACAACAATACAAAACTCTAAATATTTGGTGAAATAGTCAATTATTATTGGAATTAGACCAGTTTAGACCATATTTTAGATTTTGGCATAATATTCTAAATACATGTTGCTGCCTACCTTTTAGAACAGTCTCTGCATTGAAAGTATACTTATGGTGTCTTAAAATGGCGTCTTAAACTAGATTTTGGAACAGATCGACAGTGTATTATCTTTATCAGCACTGTAATAAGCCAGTCTTATAAACAGTCTCAAACCATGCTGCCTAAAGCTCTGGAGTGTGATTCAAGAAGTCTTCAAAGGCTCTTTTTTTTTTTTTTTTTTTTGCTTTGATGGGTCTTGACATAGTCATCTCAGCTTCTGTGCAAACTTCCTCTTTGATCATTCGTTTCAATTATGCATTCTACAGCATTCTGATATCTCTCCCCCTCTCTCTCTCTCTCTCTCTCTCTCTCTCTCTCTCACTCTATGTCTGTCTCACTCTGTGATGTGGTCACTCTTAAGATAAATATTGAGTACAGTTATCACGTTCAAGGCTCCTTGTTAGCACTTGTAGTATTTCACTTGTTTAAAAGCAGATTTGTCTAGTCCAGGGGTCTTCAAAATAGGAGGTCCACAGCACTACTGCAGGGCAACCATTTTTTTTTTTTTTCATTTGGGCAAGTCTTTTTTTTTTTTTTTTTTTTGTGAACACATTTGTGTTACATAAACTGTTTGTAGCTAGTCATCATGAAGTGCTGCCTTTACATGTAATTTTTGAGTGTTAGTACATGAATAAAACATTATCCAGTGGTCTAATACTTTCATTTGTAATATCTGTTAAACATATTTGTTACAATATGCCACATAACAAATGTACAAATCTCATCCTTGCATATAAACCCACACATATATTTATACATGTACTGTATATTATCCTGACCAAAAAATTATGCATTACAGTTTCCACAAAAATATTAAGCAGTATTATCTTTTTTTTATCTGTGATAATAATAAATGTTACTTATACATCAAATCAGCATATGTGAGTGATGAAAAGTCACATGGCAATAAAGACTGATATTGTTGAAAATTCAGAGGAATCATTCATGGAAAATAAACGACATTTTAAAATGTATTAAAATGGAAAACAGTTATTATAAGTTGCAATAATATTACACAATATTTGTGATTTTTACTGTATTTTTGATCAAATAAATACAGCCTTGGTGAGCACAAGATACTACTTTCAAAAACATAAAAAAAATCTTATCAACTTCATCAAATTTAATGGAACATAATAATATCAAATATAATGGAACATTTTTTTAAATAAATGTATTATATTATATATTAATAGAATTTTATATATATTATAATAAAATGTGTATTAAAATATATGATGAAATTAAAATAGTATTTATTAGAGTATTAGTATATATATTGTATTCTATACATGTCATCATAGGCTGGACTTGATGTCTGAAATACAGTACACAACTCAATATTGCACAATTTGTAACAGTAGGTCCCTGCTCTCTGCTCTATGTCCAAGGTTGAAGACCCCTGGTATGGTACAAGTGTATTATTACGCAGTAATGTTCCAGGTTTGATTTTAATTCTACCTCGACTTTTTTTTCAGCTTGCGATCTTTGGAATTCTGGTTCAATCACATTTATACACATGAAGGTAGGAAAATGCTTTCTGCACTTTTCTTGTTCAAGCGTAGTTGGCTTGTTCACAGTAATGGTGAAGTATAGCCAAGATTTTCAGGTTTCAGATACTCTATTGCCAGCATAATTCTAATATTTAGTGTTTTTTTGGTCTTTTCTCTCTCTGACATGATTCCTCAGACATCATAGCAGCACACTACCACCCATGGGGTTTCCTACCCCTGTCTCAAGGGGTGTGCCAGCCACTGTTCGAAGAGTTGCTGCTCCTGCTCCAGCCGCTCTCACTGTTGCCCTTTGACCTTGACTTGCTATTTGAGCCACACCAGCTTCAGAAAGGGGAAGAACACCTGAGACGCAAAGAACAGCTGTGCTCTGCACGCCAAGGCCTCGACCAATCAGATCGCTCCACCTTCCAGCTAATGCGTGGCTGTGGAATGTTGGAGTCTGGTGCACAGGAAATGGTAATACTGCCTCAGAGAGAAAAATTCATGCTGAGAGACGAGGACAGCCGGCTTAGGACGGAGGGAGTGACATTAAAAATGAAACGAGATGGGCGGAAGAGTGGAGCAGAGCGTGAATCACGGGATAAGGAGGCTGGAGCTGGCAAAGAGTGTTTGAGGAAGAGTGACGCAGGGCTGATAGAGGGCGGTGGGTGGTGTGCTGGCAGGATGAAGGGAGTTGGAGAAGATTGTGACAAGGAAAAAAGGAGAGAAGGAGATGGAGCCAAACAGAGAAACCGACAAGCTGGCTGGTGGTATCAGCTGATGCAAAGTTCACAGGTTTACATCGACAACTCTGCCGAGGGCTCAAAATTCGTGAAGTTGGAAAAGAGGAGGAAAGGTGGCATTGAAAGTCACCGGCAAAGCCATCCACCTACTAGAGAAGGTGTTGTTGAGGGGGCTGAAGCTATTCAACAGATGGATGAACAGGTGGAACATGGTCGGACCAGAAGTAGCAATAATAATAGTGCTGGCAATGGGGTCCTCCACCAATCAGCATTGTCAGAACCCAACAAAGCTGCAAAGGGGAAGCCATCGTGGATGGGAAGTCCACCAGAATCGGTGCTCACTGAGCTGAAGAAGAGCAAGGAGAAGCAGCTAGAATGCCAGGATGGAGCAGGGGAGGATGCAGGGGAGGATGGTTCGGCACAGGTGCTCCGCTGGGGGCGGCTGTTTGGAGCTGGAAACGCAAGCAAGATCGAGAAAAGTGAGCAGAAATCAGTCAGGAAACAAAGGTGAGTTGGCAAACATAAGTCAGCATGTTTTCATCAGTCAAGGCCTGTTCACATCAAGAATATTAACTATAAAGATAACTATCTTTGCGTCCACGTCAACATACGATAAATACATGCTTTAACATTTTAACTGATATTCTCTTAAAATTAGAACAATAATTAAAACTTTATAGTTATTGGTCTTGGTGTAAACAGGCCTTTTACACATCACAAATATGCTATAAATGAAGTTGTTCCATAATTGGGTTTCATTTCCTTCAACTTCACCAAGCTTCATAATTTATTTTTTGCCAAACTTCAATGGCTTTGATTTCAGAATGATTTAGTTTTACTCATTGCCAGCTGCTTACAACACTTTTTACAAAGGCATTTTTAATAAACTTTGCTAACTTTCTACCTTTTCTACCTACATGTTTTCAGATTGCCATCTGGTTGGTTGAGTCTTGACCGTTCTGTTTTGGATTTGGTGGCTCAGTCTGTTGGAGTGGGGAAAAAAGCAGAGCAACAATCTCTTAAGTTTCAAAGCCAAGAATCCCACCTTGGCCCAACTAAACAAGCACAAACACAGAATCCCCCAACACAGAGACAAACCCTTCGGTAATGTTGGTAGACAATACATAATGACTAGATTTGTCATTATCTAGAAACCAGTGCTTGGCAAGGCATCTACAGAATAGTTTTTAATTAGCTTAGGTTGTAGGCATTGATTTAGGCTGCCTAAATGAATTTCACAAACATTATCACTGTCATGACGCTCAGTAAACATCTTTTTTTTCAATCATCTGCATACAGGAATCAACGCCTATTGCTTCTGTGCCACTTTGTAATGATAAAACACTGATAAAAATAGATAAAAAGTTCAAATGAAAAGACCAATTACAATTCAGTATGCATATATTACTGGTGTCAGTGAGAATGTTTTTTTTTTATTTATTTTATTCATTTTATTGATAGAAAGGTCAAAAGTACATTGCACAACATAATGATCAAAGTTTGAATCTGTTTGTTTAGCACTTTGAAATTTAATTAATTCCCAAAAACTGAGGGTACGTTTACACAAAGTTTTTGCGTACAGACGATAATGTTGTCAAAACGATCCTTGTTCACACGATAAAAAACGACTAAAAACGCTGCCAGGCCAGTAGGTGGCGATGTCACTTTGTAAAGAAACACTACACACCTACAGACTGAACATGTAACACGCATGTGCATGACGTCACAGTTTTTAACAAATTCACCTTTTTGTAGTTACACAGACGATAATGGTATTGTTTTCAAAAACCTGCACTTTTAAACCCGTTTTTAATAAGTTCGCGTTTTCAGGTCCCCAAAACGCCATTGTCGAGCAAATGAACTGCCAAAATGTATTATGTTTGATAAATATTAAGAGCTGTCTTGCAAAAACAGTGTTTCTAAAAACATTTAGTGTAATTATTTGAAAATGAAAAGACATTACTGCTATATCTGATTAATTATCTCAACTACATTTTCTTTGTTTCTTTGACTCTCTGTCTCTATCCCTCTCTCTTTCCCCATTTTCCCTCTCTTCTTCCTTCTGTTTTCAGTGAAGTGAAGGCGTTATGCCATCATATTGCCACAGAGCCAGGCCAGCTCAGTTTCCACAAAGGTGACGTGATGCAGGTGCTCAGCAGGGCAGACTCTGATTGGCTGCTGTGTGCTCTGGGCGACACACAGGGCCTTGTTCCCATCATATACGTCACCCTGATTGAGGACAGTCAGGAGCGCTGAAACTCAGGCTCTGAAAGAGACGGGTGCGAGATAAGATCCGATTGGGAACGAAGAGGAGGGTCACTGCTTTTCTGAATATAAAAGCTGCTGCACAAGAGATGATTCTGTCAGATTCATTTTGTGCTTGCATGCGTATGTAAACACCAATACACACACACACACACACAAACATCACACTTTGCTGTTGTGAAAGCACCCTCTTTGTTTCAGTGAACAGCAATGTTCTAACCAGTGATTAGAAAGTGTAGATCTAGTTTCTGATTCTGAGTAGTGAAATTGTTTGCAATGAGCCATCAGGTTTTGCAAAATAGCTTGTAATCATTAATGTCAATAGCCTTTTAAAAAAACTACAAAACCAAATGAAGTTGTTAGATGACACTACTGGTGCATATGCCCTGTCTTTAATTAAATACTGTATGATTTTATGTAATCTAGATGTTAGCCAATTCATGTGTTGCGACGGAAAGTGTGTGCACTTGCCCTTTGGAGGCCGCGCATAACCTGGTGGTCATTCGTGAACATCTCGTTGTCACTCGCAAATAACCGTATGAAGCTGAATAGTACACCACTGATTAAGGGACATCTTGGTTTTTACTGCAAGTCCACAGGAATTAAAGCTCATTAACGATACTGGACAGCCTTATACGACAAGGGAAATTAGGCTGTCCAAAGGCATTTTTCTCTCCAAACCTGTGATCCTTTGACAGGTTAACAGATATACTAATGCTATCACCACAATGTCATGTTTTTTACACCAATAAGGGATCATTTACAGCAAGATTGTTTGCATGTGATGGACTGCACCACAATTTTTTTTGCTTTTCTGATACTGAAACGATTTGAAGAGATAAAATAAGCTCCATCTTTAATCTTAAATGTACTATATTCCTTCCTATAATCTGCAGGAGATACAGAAAGGGAAGATATGTCTACTTTAGACTTTTGGTTGTTTTGTTGTGGTTTAAAGAGCTTTTGAATGCTTTTGGGCCGGCCTATATTTATTAAGATAGATCAGATTGTAGAAGACGAACAGATGGATGTATAGATGTAATGGGATGGATTTATAGAGTTTTATGTTTGTAGAATAAATGGCAGGGGAAAAAAAGTTTAATGGGGTTTGGTGGCAAATTCCTTCCCCTTTAAATTGATTTATTCATGAGAAGATTTTTTCCTACTAACAATGTGATCATGCTTGAATATTATCCATATATTATCTGCTTTTTACAGTAGAGGACAAAAAGTGACATTTGGACAAGGCTGGTGAAATACCACACAAAATATTGCATTGTGGTACCATATTGTGCATTAAGTTATGGCCATTTGATGTCCTAAATTCAACTCAAGGTGAGGCCTTATGGAAGGGAATATGTATTATGTATTTTATTACAGCATTAAATTATTTCAGGACTTGAAGATGATACCAATTGTATTGAAAATGACCTCGGGCCCTCTATGACACTTAATATGCTTTTGCTAAAAGTAATATATAAAATCATATTTTGATTTGATTTTTTCAAATTGCTTTGAGACATCAATAGATGATTGTCAGTATGTTTTTTGTTAAAACAGTTTTATGATTTTTTTTTATTTTCTATTCTAAAAATGCATTCGTCATTATTTTGTGTATTTGTAATTGTAAATATGTTGCGTTCTCTTATCCTCAAAAGGAAAATGACATTATTGACTGGTTATTAACAGATTTAAATGCTAACAGTTAAGAACGAAAACCATTCAAATGTACATTATGTTGTTATGGGATGTTATGAGTAGAAGAAAAATGCTCTCGCAGACTCGCACAAAAAGCTGCGCAATCTAGATTGTAGTGCTGCTGCTTTAGGTCAATTACGGTTTGTCTGCTGGTCTTCCAAATACGCTTTGCTTTTCACTGAATCCCACCTTGTAAATATAAGAGAGAGGGAGGGAGAGAGCATGAAAGAGATTGTGAGAGAAATAGCTGTCCAGTGCCTTTTTGAACTAATGTGTGTGCTAGTGAGATTAGAGAGTGTTTCCTCACAATTGTTTGGTGCCATTTCTTATGTATGTGGTGGGAGTTAAAAGAAACTGGCATCTATTTTGGATCTGTTTCTTTTCCATGCAGATTGTTAGAGGATAAACACCAGTGAAAGAGGAAGGATTAGTTTGGAGGTTAATGTATGTTTGTGCGATGTTCTTTCTCTCTCTGTCCCTCTCTCTGTCTGCTGTGATCATCCCAATATTTCTGGCCTGTATATACTGTAGCTCACCTACTGTTGTGCTCCAATAACATTACCATAATGTATGAATATCAATAACAAAGTGCTCATTTGATCACAGATGCAGTGCGTTCTGTCTTTTTTCTCCCTCATTTTAAGTGTTTGAGACATACTGTCTAAATAAGAACAATCATTTGATTATTATGGCTCATTAATTGTTCTAACAAATGATTTGCATTTTACAAGATCCATGTGTCACTTGAATCACAAAACAGTTACACTGACATTTCACTGATGAATTGAATGTTAAGTTATAAATCATTTTGAAGCAAGCTGTTAGGGACATTTCTCCACTTAAACGTGGATCAGAGATTCACATTACGCTTAACCTTTGGTTAAGGTACTTTTAACCCAGGGTTAAGCATTACCGGTAAATGGTAATTACCGGTATCTGAATCATACAATTTACAAGGGGAATTATTTTTAATTTCATTGAACATGGATACAATGAGTGTTTTCAGTGACCCTGACCCCTAAAAAAAACAAAACAAAAAAACAAAACAGATAATGATTATTTTAACTGATAATATTTTCAAATGTAAGCACCGCCTCTATACTAGTAATAATATTGGAAAATAAATTTTCGGGAAGTCAATTTTATTATTAACAAAAAAGAAGAGTATGTTATAATTACAACAGAATATAAGAAAATACAACAAATGTAACGGAGTTGCACACAAGGGGGATTGATGCTCTTCAGGAAGACATCAACCTAAAAACGTCATGAGATGACGACACACGCACCAAGATGGACGAATAAGAGCGTCAAAACCATGGTCAAAACAAACAACCATGTATAAGGTATGGGAAAAGCAAACATTTAGTAGTAAAACAATTCGACTACAAGTGGTGATGTTGAGGAGGAATGAGCCAGTGATCAATGTGAGTACGTTACAGGAATGTCACGAACGAAGTCTGCAAAAACATCACGTGCGTGTGTTGACAAATAACGTTATTAAAATTAGTGGAGACACGTCTGCAGGTAAAGCTGTATTTTTTCTTACAGACATATTATGTAAGCGTTGTTTTATCAGATAAAGTCCTTCCCACTTTGAGCCATGGTGTTTATATTGCCCTGCAGATACAGACTCGAAGTTAAAACCAGAAGTTGAAACCTACTATGGGTGAGGTTAACGTAATATTTGCCCACAGTAGGCCTACAACGTAACGTTTTTAAATTAATATTGATAAGGAAAGATGCATCAACAGCGTAACCTGCTGAGTAATATTTATATGAGACTTCGCCATAGGAATATAATATTTCTATTATTCGTAGCTGGGCTTCTAGAGCAGTGACAGCACAGTGTCAGTCGTCATGGCTGTTTTAAGACGAAACCTAACACGTTCATGATGTACTCAAAGAGTTCTTGCAGAAATACTGACTGTATTTGAGTATTTTTAAGCGTTAGCCGTAGACTCTAAAGCAGTAGACTGTAGAAATCACTTGTGTCTTTTCAGGTTCAGACACAAGTGATTTCTACTTTTGTTGTGCCCATAGTAGCTACCTGAAATCGGCGTGACGGGTTCGGTTACATCGCACGTGTTGTTGTTGCTATATATGTTGTTTGTGAGAACTATCATTCCCTCCCCCTCATGGCTGAACTTTTCCCTAGATCCCACACACAGTGTCCACTCTGATAAATGGCAGTGTGCTGGTTGACTGTCTGCTGGCCAGTTGTAAAGAGAAGAGCATTGAGTACATGTGTACGCATTCCAGTACCAGAGAAGGCCCGGACACTGACTGACTGACTGTCTGCTTCAAAGGTTTGAGCTAGATTTTTCTGTTCCTAACAGTTTTCTAAAACGTAAATGCTTTATATAAAACTTTGATTTCTTGATTGGTAGATCATTTATTACTGAATATGTTAATTATTAAATGTAAGTTAGTCTTTGCATGCGGCTACTTTTTTTTTTTTGTAAAATATTTGCGAATCTGTTTACATTAGCTACATATTGTTGTGTAGGTATGTAGTGAGAGTGTTTTGATACGGTTGCTGTGTGAACTTGATTACTTATTTTAATACTATATTATTGTAGTAATTTATAATATTTTTAATTAGATTTTAATTTTATACTTTCAGTTTTCATGTTATTAATTTTATGTGTTTTGTAATTTTTTATTTACCTTTAAATACCTTAAGTATTTCTATTTACCTTTGTTTTTATTTCAGTTATATAATATACATATGTGTGTGTATAATATATAATTTCAATAAACACTATTTAATTAAGCTTATAAAAGCTATATATCTTTATAAATCCAATACAACCTATGAATGATTAGCCTTAGCTTTTAATATCATACAAGTGAAGCAGATGCGCATTTCACATATTTGGGTTGCATCATAATATTGCACACTGATGCCATCTAGTGTTTTGCACACTTTTGATAACCTAATGGGTTTCTTTTTGTTTTTACAGTTAAAGACTTACAAAACTCAAGACAAAAATAAAAGTGACCATCATCTCAACCTACAAGTACGGTCAAAGTATATATATTCAACCACTATAATGGGCTATCAGCTCTTACTCTTATCGTCCATTTGAGTGCATCATCGAAGTCCACGGGCTAAGAGAGATGCCATCACAAACACCTACCATGGACTGTTCAAGGGAACAGTCTACTCCCATTGACCCTAAATCAGCAAGCACCTCAACAGGAAATAAGGAAATTCCTGCGTCAACTACCAGTGATCACACTGACCAGTTTGAAGTCACAGAAGAAGCTGTTTCCAACACTTTAACCATGAAAAGCAGTACTAAATCCAATAAGCCCAGGTTTGGTGACAGTGGTCAGGCTAAAGAGAGACTGAAGTTTATTCTAGGAGCGTCTGAGGATAATTCCTCTGATGATGAGCCTTTGGTTCTGGGCCAAGCCACCAAAGTTCAGCCCGGAAGCACAGAGACGCCTAACCCAGTACCCACTATGCCATCAGAAGTGCCGTCACCCCCGAATCCATCAACCTGTTTGAGGTGAGCATCCTTTAATTGTTGTTTAAGTGTATACATGGCCAGTCTAATTAGGTTTCAAGTTGCAGATGTGCTGTTGACGTGACATGGTTTTTAAAGATGTGCAATGAAAGAAAAAAATGTGGCTTTACAGGAAAAAGAAAGGTTTATGAATTCTATTGAAATCAGATCTTGAGTTCAGTATGAAACGAATGCAAAAGACTAGTACAAATCTTCCCTTTGGGGCCTCAATATGACTCACAGTCTTGGTTTAATAGTTGACCTTGCTGTCTAGCCCTTAGATTTGCTTTTAATATCGGTAGGGGACACTCTGCACCACATGAAAGTCCAAAGTCAAACAGGACAGAGTAATGGACCAGAAGTACAGCCATATGGTCATTCTCAACACACTCTGTGATGATCACGTGACTTTCTCATGCTTGTCACCTGTTAAAGTGACATGCCACACATTTCAGTACTATTAATGGAAGCAATACTCCCGATGTTGACTTACGAAGTCATTCTCATTGCGTTTTAGTGTAAAAAACATTCTTCCAGATTGTTTCCAGAGTCAAAATACCCTAGACGTATATTTAGGGTTGAGTTGGTCGAGATGTTTTGATGTTGTCTCCGGCTATTCACGTGTAACCCGAGAGATGTTGTTCTCCTCTTCAACAACTCACTTACTTGACATAGGCAACTCCCACAGAACCAGATAAAGGTTGATAATCTGAGCGGGACATACACATTTTGTTTTTCTTGCAATGGAAATAAAACTTCAAAGGCCAAAAGGTAAGGTCATTCTTTTGCTGACATTCGTCGAGTATGTTCAGCAATTTTATTGCAGTGTGCTGTTGCACAAATGTTTGCACAGATTGTAGGTTACATAGCTTTCAGAAACTTGTTTACCTGTGTTTCTCTCCAGAAAATTAACTGCAATGACTATCCATGCTAGGTTTATAGCATGTTTTTCTTAAACAAGTGGTGGTGAAAGAAGGTCTTTATTAACTTGGGGGAGGGGGCATGAGAAGGAAGGAGCAAAAGAGGAAAAGGGAGGGAACAAAAAAAAAGTTAGCTGTTGTTTTTCATCTCCTGCATTATCATCTGATCCTTCGCCAATGGACGGAGAAGGAGAGCAAACACTAAACTGGTTTCAGTGCCTCAAGAGGTTGGTAACAGACCAAACATGCACTTTGTTCTCCCGTTTCTTAGTAGACAGCATGTTCTTGGCATTTGTAGCATACTGGAAGAAAAAAGGGGTGTGGTTTCTGTTGTGGTTCCTTGTAGTTTAGTGTAACAGTAGTTTATCTAAGTGCACAGTAGTGTTAGAATATATAGTTTTGTAGTGCAGAACGTAGGTTGCATTTCAGCAAAATCTTGCACAACTCTGTTTGAACTGTGCATGAGTTGTTAGTGCGTAATGTAACCAGATGGTGTTAGCGTGTGTCTCTCTGAGTTCATATATAGCCTAAGCTTTAGGAGCGGAGAACAAATGAAAACTGGAGAGAAAACAGCAATGTTTGAAAAGTTCTCTCGTTGCCACATCCAGTCCTTCAGATAACAGTTAAAACAAATGCATCTGCTCATTGTTTGTGGGCAGGTTAGAAACTGGAAAATTGAAACCAGACTCAGAATGTAGCATAATTGTCAAGAAAAGGATTTTTGCTCATGAAGACGGCATAAACCATAAACCATTTAAAATCAAAAAAGATGCTAGGGATGCACAATATAGGTACTGTATTGATTATCTGTCAATATTAGTGACTGGTATAGTATACGTATGTCAGTATTGGATGTTTAATTGTGCATGCTCATATCCCTATTTTTACATTTAGATTATCTTTGCTGTTATTTAACACTCAAATCTTTAAAACCAGTAATAGTTTAATAACAAATGCAACTGTAAAAATGTAATAGCAAATGAATATCCAGTTTTCATAATTATTATTATATATTGTGATGCCTAAATTCACTTGTAGAATTTAAAACGATTGATTTTAGGTTTTAGTGTTTTGACAAAATACTATGGAATTGTAATATTTATAGGCCAACGTGAAAATAATTATCGTTCTATTGAAATTGGTCAGAATAGTAATATTGGTGCCTCTCTAAATGCTTTATAAGGTAGCATCTTGATTATCTTAGAAATAGTGTCTTTTTTTTTTTTACAATAGTCAGCATAACAGAGTTTTTTTTCCACCGATGACTGCAAAAAAGAAATGGAAGTGTGATCATGCAGGTGATCAGCAAGTATTTGCTTAGTTTATTCAATCACCTTGGCATATGGAGAAGATAGTATTGTAAATGTAAATTGCATGTGTCATTTGTTTGTCTTCTTCAGTCCACTTTTTACAGTACCACTTTTTCGCTTTTGTATAAAAGCATGGGCTTTTGACTTGAAGTGTGAAGTGTGAAGTTCACTGTATTTTTACTGTTCTGGGGTCAGTTAAGGGTTAGTCAGTACTGTCTGTACCCTTTATGATAACACATTAAGCTGTGATTGGCTGATTTACTTGTGTGAGCATTTATATTATAGCACCCTTTGACAGGTGGCGAGTACAGAGGCCAAATCACTAGAGAAAAACTGTTTACATGGGCGGATAAAGTTGACTTTGAGAAGTCGTGCCGATTTGATGGATTCTTACCTCGTATGTTTGTTTGTGTTATGTTTTATCTTTTAATATGGGTTAAATTATATTGGCTTAAATGGTGCTTGTTGATGTTTCTCTCTGAGGCTTGTGTAAGCAAGTTCCACTCGTTACTTTCACGTTCATGTAAACTTTACATTATTAGCTATTAGAGCCATAAGCATGTTTTTTTCTGAGATTTGTTGTATGTTATGATAACTACCGTATAATGATATTTTTTTGTCTGTAGGCCTAGCATGTCAGGCCCCCATCTGCTAAAAAAGGGCAAAGAACACAGGAAGATGGACGTGCATAGAGATTTCACTGTTGCCTCCCCAGCTGAGTTTGTCACCCGCTTTGGAGGAAATCGCGTTATAGACAAGGTCAGAGACATGCGTTTGTGTGTTGTTTTATTTCTTTTTACATAACTGTGAAAAAAGGGATTTAATTTAACATGTATGCACATGTAATTATCTCTCTCAGGTGCTGATTGCTAATAATGGCATTGCTGCAGTTAAATGCATGCGTTCGATTCGACGCTGGTCCTATGAAATGTTCCGTAATGAGAGAACCATTCGCTTTGTGGTGATGGTCACACCTGAAGACTTGAAAGCCAATGCAGGTTAACAGAAAATAAATATTTGTTTTTTTAAAACAAAAGTTATATTATCTAACTTTTTATTATTTTATTTTATTTTAAAAATCTTTGGTCCTAGGCATTCATTTTCAATTTGGATTTATTGAAAGAATTATGTTTAAAGTTAATTGTGTTTATCTCCAGAATACATTAAAATGGCTGATCACTATGTGCCAGTCCCTGGGGGCCCAAATAACAACAACTATGCCAATGTTGAGATGATCGTGGATATTGCCAAAAGGATTCCAGTGCAGGTACGGCCTCACCAGTATCAATCTTTGCATCAGATGTGTATTTTTCCATTATTACTGATGTTGGTTTTTGTCTTCTTATAAGGCCGTTTGGGCTGGATGGGGCCATGCTTCTGAGAACCCCAAACTTCCAGAGCTCCTCCATAAATCAGGGATATGTTTTCTAGGTATTTATTCCTATGACTTTTTAGCCAGCTTAGCCTTGCTAGTTGTGGACAAAGCATGTTGATAGAGATTTCTTTTTCAGGGCCTTCCAGTAAAGCCATGTGGGCATTAGGAGATAAAGTGGCATCTTCCATCGTAGCTCAGAGTGCAGACATTCCCACACTGCCCTGGAGTGGGACAGGTAAGCGATCCGGTGCACGTCATGACTTGTTTCTAAAGCTCTCATTGTGATGTCTTGATCTTTCCCTCTTTGTCTTTTGTCAGGTCTGAGGGTGGACTGGGATGAAGAAGAACAGAGACATGGTTGTGTGATCAGTGTTCCTCATGAACTTTATGTGCAGGGTTGTGTTAAAGACGTGGACGAGGGACTAGCGGTGTGTTTTCCCCTACAGAATCTGTTACAGAATTCGTGTTACGGTTTGACTTCCTTTATCCTGCTAATTTTGTGTTTTCTTGTGGCTAGAGTGCAGAAAACGTTGGCTACCCTGTGGTAATCAAAGCATCAGAGGGAGGCGGAGGGAAAGGTATCCGAAAAGTGGAAAGTTCCGAAGACTTTCCCAGCTTTTTCAGACAGGTACATACTGCTGTAATAAATGCATTATTAATCTTAAAAAGGTCTTCATTAATCTGTGTAGGTTTGGATTCATTGCATGGTGTCTTGTTGTTTCTTCTTCGCTACAGGTGCAAACAGAAGTGCCAGGTTCACCCATTTTCATTATGCAACTAGCCGAGCATGCACGCCACCTGGAGGTGCAGATCCTGGCCGACCAGTATGGTAATGCCATCTCTCTGTTCGGCAGAGACTGCTCCATTCAGCGCCGCCACCAGAAGATCATAGAAGAAGCTCCTGCTACCATTGCCTCCACCAGCACTTTTGAGCAAATGGAGCGGGTGAGGCAAAAATCTGTGAATATTTCCTGCACATGTTGCATTTGGGGTTGTGTGGCTAAAAGACTTCGGGGTTTGTAACTTAGAGGAGTACTTAAAGGTATATCAACCAAAATTGAAAATTCTGACATCATTTAATCACCCTTAAGTTGTTCCAAAACTCAAATGAGTTTACAGTAGCCGTAATCAAGCCGTTTGGATTTTTTGAGCAATATGATGTCATATTGCTCATGCTCCGCCCATGAACACTGGCGGACTATCCCGTATCAGCATATTTCCCATATTAGGATATTTCTGCCCTCAGCCATTTGTATACTGTCCGCCAAGGCAGCACTTTACGTGTCTTGTGTCAACACCCCCCATGGAAGAGAGGGGTGGGGTAATCAGTTGCTCATTATTATTTGAAGAGACATGCACCGAAACAGGTCACCATGGACAACTGTTTTTGAGGAGGTAAAATGTTGTTTTACACAACCATTGAGGAATTTTAACCAAAGTATGTTACAAACTTTACATGAAGACCCAAAGAATCATACCGACTGACCCATTTAAGTTCTATTGTATAGTCACAAAATTTGACATTTATTCATACGTAGTTACATTTGAATTGTTTAATTCAATGCAAACATATTTACTAGCACACAAGTTGGAGTTTGTGCCCCTTTACACCGCAGCTGGCCCCTGATTCTTTAATAAGTGTACTGAAAGTGTTTGCTATATGACTAAAATGAATGATTTATCCATATTAAAAATAAGTTTTTTTTAAGTTTATTATAAACGTTTATTCAACACATGTCAAAACTGGTAGTGTAAAGTCCTGCATGCTTACATTACTGTGTCTGATAAAGAAAATGCCAGTGGGAAATACAGAGAACAGTAAAAACACAATATAAAAACATCAGAACTATTTTCCTCAAATGCTTTACATTTTTAATGTATTTTTATACATTATAAATGTATTACATTCTTTTTACATATTTGTGCACTCCAGTATTAATGACAGGGGATTATATTTTTCTGCATATGATTAATTAATTCACATATTTTGGGTTTGGGACTTATACCATAATGGTGTTCATATTGTCATGCATAATTAATTTTCTGCTCTACATGTCAGTATGCAGTGCGTCTGGCTAAAATGGTGGGCTATGTGAGTGCTGGTACGGTAGAGTATCTGTTTTCCGAGGATGGAAGTTTCCACTTTCTGGAGCTGAATCCACGGCTACAGGTGGAACACCCCTGCACTGAGATGATTGCTGACGTCAACCTTCCTGCTGCACAGCTACAGGTAAAGCAAAGTACAACTGTCAGGAGGCAACAGGACTCAGAAACACTATGTGTATGATATAGTGACCCCTCCAAAGGTTCTGTTGTTTAATGATGAGATTCTCGCTGCAAAGTAGCACGAACTAAACATATTCCTCTAATATTTTTTCAGGTTTTGTTTTTGTTAAAATATCTGATCATAAACTTTTGATACCATCTCTTTGTAGATAGCGATGGGGATCCCTCTTTACAGAATTAAAGATATCCGTGTGCTGTTTGGTGAAGGTCCGTGGGGAGACACACCTATTAACTTTGAATCTCCAGAATGCATCCCCTGTCCACGGGGACATGTCATAGCTGCACGCATCACCAGTGAGAATCCAGACGAAGTGAGCAATTGGTTTATGTTTAAAAGCTTGATTCAAGTTCAACAACAGTCTATACACACACAGTGGCTTGAATTTGCTTCATATTCTGTAGACTATTGTTTAAAAGTTTGGGGTGAAGGTTATTATTTTTTAATTAATACTTTTATTCAGCAAGAATACATTAAATTGATCATAATTAACGGTATAAGGATACTTATGATGTATATGAATGCTGTTCTTTCCATTCATAAAAGAATCCTCAAAAAAGTATCACCATTTCCACAAAAATTTTAAACTGTTTTCAACATTTATAATAATAAGAGCAAAAAATTAGCATATAAGAATGAAGGACCATGTGACACTGGAGTAATGGCTGCTGAAAATTCACCTTTGTCAAAAATGTTTTACAGTATTACAGTTGGCTTTATGCCCAGCTGCACTACTTCCTGAACTTCAGCCAGCTCCTTGTTTCCTGTCTGCCATTATTGGTCAAATTGATTAATTCAGGTGTGCTTGACCTCAGTAGTCATGGCAACAATAATCAGACACACCTGAATTAATCAATTTGGTCAATAATGGCAGACAGGAAACAAGGAGCTGGCTGAAGTTCAGGAAGTAGTGCATAAAGCCAGTTGGTATTGTATTTTTGATCATATAAAAATGCTTGTGGTGAGCTTAAAACTTTTGAACAGTATTGTATATATGCATATCCATGAGTATCTTTTCCAAAATTGTCTAATAATGCTAAATTTACTAGACCTCTTGCCTGAATTAATGTATTAGTGTTATTTTAGTTATAGTTAGTTAGTTACCCCTGCTTAACTCTTTCCCCTGCAGCTACAGTAGTTGTACTTGGAATTGCAAATCCAAACTACCTAATGTTACTAAATGAAATATCGACCCAGGATGAGCTATAGGACTGTGAAGCATTAGGGGTGTTGACGGACTCGATCTACTCTTATCATGTTTTGATCATCTTGCTGAATATGATCGAGATTTTCTCAGCTTTTTGCTCAAAATGTTGCTTTTTTTATGAAGCTTACCCACATGCATGTGTTGATTTAAAAATAACACATGAAGCTAGAATAAAATAGACTGAGGGTCTGTTCTTTCTTTTGACATATTGCATGTTCAGGAATTCTTAAAACTGGGGGCTGTGATATTTTTGTGAAAATTATGGCAATTATTTTTAAAAATACGCTGGCAGGGAAAGAGTTAACTATCTTCTCAGATGTTTTTAAAACCTTTTAGAGTTTTGAAGCAGTGGTCTTTGAAGGCTACTTTAGCAGTTAATTTCTTGATATATTTATTTGTCTTGATAAGGGTTTTAAACCAAGTTCAGGCACCGTTCAGGAGCTGAACTTCCGCAGCAGTAAGAACGTGTGGGGCTACTTCAGTGTGGGAGCAACCGGAGGTTTACATGAGTTTGCAGACTCTCAGTTTGGACATTGTTTCTCCTGGGGCGAGAACCGAGAAGAGGCCATCTCGTGAGTCCATTTAGATCAGCAGTCTTTTCTTTTTTTGCTCTTTAAAGAAAAAAAAATTAGATCGAGATCTCTTTTCATTGTGAATCAATTAAGTATTTGTTTCTGTGGCCTGCAGGAACATGGTGGTAGCCATGAAGGAGCTCTCAATCAGAGGAGATTTCAGGACCACAGTGGAATACCTCATTAAACTACTGGAGACGGAGAGTTTCAGGAACAATGACATTGATACTGCTTGGCTGGACCACCTAATTGCAGAAAAAGTACAGGTAGGACCTGCACACCTAGGAGGAGAAATATCCCAAATCAATAGGAACTCAGTTCTACTTTTCGCCCATGTAAAATTAACTTTTAAGCCATTTAAGGTAAAGTGACATTTGTTTTTTGTTGTTTTATTGAATGTTTCTCTTAGGCGGAGAGGCCAGACACCATTTTAGGTGTGGTATGCGGTGCTCTACATGTTGCTGATGCAAGTTTCAGAAAGAGCATGTCTGACTTCCTGCATTCACTGGAGAGGTACTGTTATGCCACTCCAGCATCTAAGGCATTGAAATCTTAAAGATACCACTAGACGCTTTTAATTTAGTGTTGTAATGCTTTTCTGGATGTTTTAGGGGCCAGGTGTTGCCTGCTGCTAGTTTGGTCAACACATTCAATGTTGATCTGATTTATGATGGAGTCAAATACTGCCTGAAGGTAACATAAATCAAAAGATGATCAAAGGTATTTCAGTAAGTGAATTTTAACATTAACAGGTGTGAATGTGTGTGCTTGGGTCTGGGGTACAGGTGGCACGCCAGTCACCCACCACATATGTTGTCATAATGAATGACTCGGATATTGAAGTTGATGTCCATAGACTCAGTGATGGTGGTCTACTACTTTCTTATGGTGGCAGCAGCTACACAACCTACATGAAGGAGGAGATTGACAGGTTAGAAAAGCAATGGTTTTGTGCTGTCAAATACAATGTACTTATGTAACCACTGACGTTTATTTGGTCTTTGTCAATGTATAGCTATCGCATCACAGTGGGTAACAAAACGTGTGTGTTTGAGAAGGAGCGAGACCCTACGGTACTCAGGTCGCCCTCTGCTGGAAAGCTGTTGCAGTATGTGGTCGATGATGGGTCTCATGTTTTGGCCTCCCAGCCTTACGCTGAAATTGAGGTAAAGATGAGGCAAAGTATTTTACATTTCTAGGTTGCAGTTTCTTATCAACATATTCTGTATATGACATTATATGGGACTGACAGAGATGAATGCAGAGGACAGATTTAACTGACTTATTATAGTGGTTGTTTGTTTTTTTGTCTTTTTTTCTTTTATTTTTAGGTTATGAAGATGGTGATGACCCTGCATGTCCAGCATTCCGGTTCCATTAACTTTTCAAAAAGACCAGGAACTGTATTAGAGCCCGGCTGTGTAGTGGCACGAATGGACCTGGATGACCCCAGCTGTATTCATCCGGTGATTTATCTTTAATTGCTTCTCACAAGATGAAGCACATGATGAAATCCACTTACTGTTTTGTTAGACTTGGGCAAATGTTGAAAATGTGATAGTTTGGTTGGTTGTCCCAAAGATCTAATGGGGAGTTTGACAACCACTTAAAGTACGAATTTGATTGCTTTATAAAAGAAAAAATTAAACCAAGTGGCAATTATTGTAAAGAAAATAATAGCTCAAGCACAATTTTCAAGCAAAACCCATTACAACAACCGTTAGACTAGTGGATCATATTCACACCTAATGTGATGAACTACACTACATGTGAAATCAGATGTGGTAAAAAATAAAAGTCAGTAAGGCAAGGCAAGGCAAGTTTATTTATATAGCACATTTCATACACGATGGCAATTCAAAGTGCTTTACATAGAAGAAATTAAAATAATCAAAATAAATCAGAATAATTAAAACAGTTTAGAATAAAAAATAAGAAATAATGAAAAATAAAAATTATGATAGAAATAAAATACAGTAAATTAAAACCACTGTATTTTGTACTGTGTACTGTGAAAAGATGTAGCATTAATTGTTTGCAGAGACCATTGGTTTGATATCTAATCCAGTGACATTCATGCATAAATTCAAAAAAAATTAATTCATGTTTTAGTGTCCAAATACTTTTTGCTTCTTTACTGGTGTCATTTTTAGATACTACCATCTGCAATGAGAAGTATTAATTTCTGGTTTCCTCCCACAGGTAAAGCCGAACACAGAGGCATTACCATCCCAAGAACCTTTATCAATTGTAGGTGAGGGGCTTCATCAGGTCTTCCACAATGTTCTGGAGAACCTGGTGAAGATTATGGATGGATACTGTCTGCCGGAGCCATACTTCAGTCATAAAGTGAGAACACCGATTCAGACTTAAAGCAGCATGAAAAGAGTGTGCAGAATAGTCTGTTAACTATATCCATATGTCTTTACAGCTGAAGAAGTGGGTCAACACGCTGATGAAGACACTTCGGGATCCGTCTCTGCCTCTTCTTGAACTGCAGGAGATCATGACCAGCGTGGCAGGGCGTATACCAGTTACTGTAGAAAAAGCAATTCGAAAGGTCATGGCACAGTATGCCAGTAACATTACCTCTGTGCTCTGTCAGTTCCCCAGCCAAAGGGTGAGTAATGAAGAAATAAATAAGCTTATCTGCAACATAGATTGCACTCATATCTCTGGACAGTATTACATATCGTCAAGTGTTGAAGTTGTGATAAAGAAGTCAAGTGATAAAGGCTCTTTATCTTTGGTTGAAACATAACATATATAGAGATATTTTAATAAATGACAGTTCTGGGGGCAACTTTCAGGTTTTATTCAGTTTTCAATTAACACTTTTCCAGATAGCAAATATACTTGACAGTCATGCTGCTACGCTTCAGAGGAAAGCAGACAGAGAGGTTTTCTTCATGAACACTCAAAGCATTGTGCAACTAGTGCAAAGGTGAGAAATGCCCGATGGCCCACTATTAGATCCTACCTTTGCTTTTTGTCTCAAAAATGAAGATTCTGTCATCATTTACTCACCATCAAGTTGTTCCATACCTGTTTGAGTTTCTGTCTTCTTCTGAACACAAAGGAAGATATTTTGAAGAACGATTGGAACAGTTGTTTGGCCCCATTGACTTCCATAGTAGAAAAAAAAATTCTATGGAAGTCAATGGTTCAAAATATCTTCCTTTGTGTTTAGCAGAAGAAAGAAACTCATACAGGTTTGAAACAACTTGGGGGTGAGTAAATGATGACAGAATTTTCATTTTTGGGTGGAGTATCCCTTTAAGATAACCAAACACTGCTCTGTTAACAAGAAAATGTCAATTTGCGCCTGTTTTTTTTATTTATTTTTTTTAAAATAATTTTTAGATACCGTAGTGGAGTTAGAGGCTATATGAAATCGGTTGTGCTGGATCTGTTGAAACGGTACCTTCAGGTGGAGATGCAATTTCAGCAAGGTAAGTGTCCAACTTTAACCTTGACAATACGGTCACATCAGATAAAACAAAAAATAATTTCACAAGTTTTACCTTTCTTTGTGAAAATATATCTGGAAAAATAAAGACAAAAGTTAAATAAAGTGCACAGACAATATGGTAGATTTTAATAAGAAATTTGTAATTCTCTCACTCTCCCCGGCAGCGCACTATGATAAATGTGTCATCAATCTCAGAGAGCAGTATAAGCCTGATATGACTCCAGTATTGGGGTGCATCTTTTCCCATGCTCAGGTCCCCAAGAAGAACATCCTCGTCACCATGCTCATAGTAAGATCCTTTCTGAACTACTTAACAGTACTTCTTTATTACATTAAGATGTGTTTGCGGATCCCCCCAATCATTCTTAAAATAAAAAAAGGATGTATAAGTGCCTCATCTGAGGATTAACATTACTCAGTTCAGTAGTTTTTTTTTCTTATTTAATTTTAAAAAGCAACTTTTTTTTCAGGACCAGCTGTGTGGCCGGGACCCAATGCTTGCTGATGAGCTTATGGTCATTCTTGATGAGCTTACACAACTCAGTAAAATGGAAAACTCCAAAGTGGCACTTCGGGCCAGACAGGTATGTACTGAACCTCAGTGGTCACGATCTTAATGCTGGCTCTGTTCAAAATAGTATACTACCATACTAATAATACTATTTTCGCAGTATTATACTATTTAAGCAGTATGAACACCACCGTTTAAAAGTTTCAGGGTCAGGAAAGTAATAGTTTTATACAGCAAGTTTGGGTAGTTGCATTCAATTGATTAAAAGTGACAGTAAAATAATTTGTTACAAAGAATCCTTAAAAAATCAAATTTCCACAAAAATATCAAACTGCGTATTTACGGGACAGTATGCAGCAAGCAATACCCTAGCCATGACAACTCTAAATCTTTCTTCAGGTGTTGATCGCGTCTCATTTGCCCTCATATGAACTCAGACATAACCAGGTGGAATCCATCTTTTTATCAGCTATTGATATGTATGGGCATCAGTTCTGTCCCGAGAACCTCAAGGTAAAGCAGCAAAAAGATAAAACATTTATCTTTTTTGATATAAATCTAACAAAGGCATAACAATTCAAAAATCCTACAGAAACTCATCCTATCTGAGACCTCCATCTTCGACGTCTTGCCCAGTTTCTTCTACCACATCAACCGTGTGGTTTGCATGGCTGCCTTAGAGGTCGGTAAAGCTTGTCTTTTTCTCCTCAAATGTTTAGTGGTATGTGGTCAGGACTTTCTATGAACTTTTCTGAAATTTCTCAGGTATACGTACGGAGGGGATATATTGCTTATGAGCTAAACAGCCTTCAGCATCATCAGCTGCTGGATGGGACATGTGCAGTAGACTTCCAGTTCATGTTACCATCATCCCACCCAAATAGGTATAGCAGCAATCACATGTAGATCTATATACACTAAATAGGACTTACGATTATGTTCATCCCATGACCTCCAAATCAGTGGGACACTTGTGGCCAGCTTTTTTCAAATATAGATGCTTTTGACCTTCATTGCTGTGGTGCTTAACAGACTGCACTGTTTATGTAATAGAAAACAAGATAATTTATAGTCCACCTTCCTAGCATGGATATTTCTTTAAGATTCCCTGTAACTTTTGTTTTATATTTTGAGTTTGACATTGTTTTCTTTCCTCTGAAAGAGAACCTTTCTCCCCAGTGAGCCCGTCCATGCCCAAACCCACGTAATACGCTCTATGTTTATTAGCATCTCCCTAATCAAGTAATATTTAACAGAGTGCACAAAAAAAAAAAAAAAAAAAAAATCCCGTCTTACAATCATAACTTTCCCCCTTTGGGCTAAAGCCTGATTTCGGTTCTTTTTACTAAGCTATACTGAGAGATGGTATTGAGCACCATTTTCACACTGGGGTGGTTTGAGATTTATCAACTTGCTTTGAAATAAAAAAGTACATAAGTGATTATATTGCAGTTATTTTTCACATTATTGAAGGCTTTGTTTAAAATAAACACTGAATTATTAACTGTGCTTGAAATATTTTTGTCGACATGAAGTCAAACTTTACTAAAATTTACAAAATTAATACACATTCTTGGTGTAATTGTGAATGATTGGTCAAAAGACAAGTCGTTTAGTATATGAATCAAAATATAACAATCATAGGCCTAAATGTAACATTTTTGGAAGTTAAATGGGTTTGTTAAGACCTCATGTCATTTTTAAATATTAAGGCTTTAAAATATAAAAATGTATCGCAAAATATTTAGAAAAAAAAAATGAGAGATAGTTATGCAAGTCAAAGCAGATTGGTCAATCACACTGAATCACATTAACTGGGTTTTCTGTATACAAATACTTTATTAATGATTGTAGCTATAAGTGTTTTGTCATCGAATTCAAAGTGATTCCCTTACTGTTACTTTGGTTGCTAATCAGTTTTCATAGAGATTTTTTTCACTCTAATGACCAATAACGGTTAATAGATCCATTTTGAATCCATTTCTACTAAGATATGTTTTTAACATAATCATGATAGAAAGAGATTTAACGTCCCATGCTAACACACCTGCTCTCATTTCAGAGGGAGCAGTCCTACTTTGAACAGGTAGAGTACAGCTCCTCCCTGCAACCAGTTTGCCTTGTGTGTGCAGCAATGCATGCTGGATGCATCCACAGTATTAAATGACTTGAAGAAATCTGGCCTCAAAGGGACAGTTTTTTTAATTGTTTTATTTGGATTTAATGGCTCATACAATTTGTCAATTTGTTGGTTAATTCTACAAGCCTAAATTGGCCTTAAATGTGCTTCCAATCAACACAGTCTGAAAAACTGTGGACTGTGTTTACCAATTCATCCCTGAACCCTTGCCAGTTTAATTTAGATGAGCCACATAATCTAATTTCACTCAAGCTGAGAATATAGAGGGAGGTTATTGAGTATTTTGCTTTGAAACTTGTGCTTTTTCCTTTCAGCACAAGCAGTGCCTTTAGCTTATGCTTTTGTCCATAATTGACAGCCTTAATTCTACTCTCTCTATCACACACACACACACACCATCTCCTCCCCCTCTCAGAATGTCTGTTCCTGTGAATGACTCGGGAGAGTTTCAAGCAATGCGTCGTCAAGGTAGTGAGCTCTTCATGGATGGGGCGCTGTCGCCTCCATGTCAGAGGATGGGAGCCATGGTCGCCTTCCATAGTTTTGACCACTTCAAAAGGTGCCTTCATATTTTGTGCTCATTAATAGAGTTGGATTAAATGGGAGGTCCGTCTGATCTGTGATTGTGTTGTAGGTGTTTTGATGAAGTGATCTTTCGCTTTGCGGACCCGCTGTGTGAGAGTTCTCTGTTCTCTGACGGCTGTTCCAACTTCTGTGATGGGGAGAGCTGCAAGGTGAGAGTTTCTAAACTGTCATCATTTACTTCCTATACCCTCATGTCAGTCCAAACCTCTATGACTTTCATTCTTTTGGGATACAATTTTTGGACTATTTATGTGTATGTGTATATATACTGTTTCAGAACATGAAGGAAAACCCCATACACATCATAAATGTGTCTATCAAACAAGCAGACACTGAAGACGATGATACTTTAGTCACAGCTTTCACTGGCTTTGCTCACTCTAAAGTAAGTATTTTAAAGATTGTTGACCTGTTAGCTTTGTATGCTGGTCAGTGGCTTGACTCATTGTGTTTATTTCAGAAAGCTCTGCTCTATCAATATGGAATCAGAAGAGTGACATTTTTAGTTGCACAAAAGGTGAATGCTCATATACAATTGCAATTGCCTAAAAAATATTGTCAATCAAAAGAGACTGAAATAGTGTGCCTTTTCCCCCCTCAGCGGGAGTTCCCAAAGTACTTCACGTTCAGGGCCAGAGATGAAGTAAGTGATGCATCTGATTTGATCATTTAAAATGTTAAATTATAGAGTAACAGCTGAAGATTTTCCTCTTTCTCTCTAGTTCCATGAAGACAGAATCTACCGTAACCTGGAGCCGGCTCTGGCCTTCCAGCTTGAGCTGAATCGTATGCGTAACTTTGATCTGACGGCCGTTCCCTGTGCCCATCACAGAATGCAACTGTACTTAGGTGCCGCTCGCGTGGAAGAGGGGGCAGAAGTCACAGATTATCGCTTCTTTATCAGAGCCATCATTCGCCATTCTGACCTCATTACAAAGGTAACCATTATTCCTAAAAGACAGCATGTAATTTTTGTCCTAAAACCTTTCAGGACTTTTGCAGGCATTTAGTGGAGTCTTTCTCAGAGAAAGGCGAGGGGTTGATTGTATTTACTTTCAATGACTGCATTTAAAACACAGAATGTGAATGTGGTCTAAATATTTATTATGATTATTTGGCAGACACTTTATCTAAAGAGATTTACAGTGCATTTAATTTATACATGTTATCAGTATGTTTATCAGTCTGTACCCTTGAAGTTGCTCGCACTATGTTTTAATAGTTACACTGCAAGCTACAGACGCACTGCTCCAGTCTGGGGAAAAAAATTGTATAAGTAGCTTATCTGTTAGTTTAACTTAACGTCATCATAAATGCATGCTTGATTAACCTTTGCTGTCAATCATAAAATAATATCTGAACTGATTCATATTATACAGAATTATTACACAGATATAAATATATACATTAATTATTATTATTATTATTATTATTATTATTTAAAAAAATATTTAAATATTATGCATTTAATTTTTCTGGATTCTTTTATGAAAAAAAAGCCGGAAGTTTGTTGCAATGTAATTGTCTGTAAACCTTTGATCAGTTTAATCAGTAAAAGTATGAATTTCTTTAATTAAAATTGTTCTGTCCTCAAACCTTTCAGTGAACAGTAGTGTATTGATATACTTTGTCTAAAATTGTTTCCAACTTCAAAATTGGCTATAAAAAGGCACAATAGAAGTTAAAATGTTAGTATCGCTGGCTGCATAGATTGTAAATTTAGAAAGTTCTTATTTCATATAATAAGTCCAGTGTAAAAGCCAGTGTAGGTTGTTTGGTATTTTGAGGGTATTTTTATATATGGCCTAAGTTTTATTGAAGCTTTTTTGATTTTAATTGTTCCCCTCTTTCTGTAGGAGGCCTCATTCGAGTACCTGCAGAATGAGGGAGAGCGGCTGTTGCTGGAGGCGATGGATGAGCTGGAGGTGGCCTTCAGTAACACACCCGCTCGTACAGACTGTAATCACATCTTCCTCAATTTTGTACCCACTGTTAATATGGACCCTTCAAAGGTTAGATTAAAAAACATAGCCACTGCCATTAGTCCTGAGCTGTATTACTTTTGCTACATTCTGTTTTTTTTTCCTACAGATAGAGGAGTCTGTCCGTTCCATGGTGATGCGGTACGGTAGTCGTCTGTGGAAGTTGCGTGTTCTCCAGGCTGAGCTGAAGATCAACATCCGCCTCACCACCACCGGAGATGTCATTCCCGTCCGCCTCTTCCTCACCAATGAGTCCGGCTACTATCTGGACATCAGCCTATACAAGGAAGTCACTGACCTTTCCACTGGACAGGTGCAACTTACATTCACTCTCTTTCCTAATTAAAGTGGTATTGTTTGGATTATGATTACTTCAAATTACACATTTGCCATAACACTACCATCCAAAAGTTGGGGGGTAAGTGAGTTTTTTGTTTGTCAGCAATGATTAAATGGATCAATATTAGAATGCTTTTTGAAGGATCATGTGGCACTGAAGACTAGAGTAATGGCTGCTTAAAATTCTGATTTCCTATCACAGGAATAAATTTAAATATATTAAAATAGAAAACAGTTATTTTAAATTTTATTAGTATTTCATAATATTATTGTTTTGCTGTGTTTTTGATCAAAAGAATTCAGAATATAAAGAGACTTCTTTCAAAAATATTAAAGAAACCTTATCAATCTAAAAATGTATGGTAGCACTATTTTTGCTACCATTGATTTCATTGATATCTGACCCAGTTGTTTTTTGAGTGTCACTGCATAAGTACAAGACGTTCTTCCACACGAGGTCGAGTTTAGATGAAAATCAGCTCAGACGCAACAGCAGCTCCTCAATAGATCTTTTTATCAATATGCTTTGTAGTCTGTATTGCTTTCCCAGCTGCCCATTTTCCTCTCGCCAACATCAGAACTGTTTATTTTGAGGACTGTGGACTGATAAACCACAACACAGCGCCATCAGGAGTCTTGTTATAATGCAGTCTGCACAAACAATGGCTAATCAAGAGCCATGCATGTGCTTTCATCTATATCGGTCTGTGTTCTTCTTAAAGTACATCTTCATTTTCTCCTCAACTGAAACTGATTCACTACTGGACCATTCTAAAATGTTTTTTATTTGTGTAATATGAGCCAAAAATGTTGATATCATTGTTGTCAGACTTTATTCTTGATTTGAAATATGTTGTTTGAACAAAATATTGAGAGATTTCAATCTTTCCCCATTCAACTAGATAGAAGCTGTACTTGCATGACTGTAAACCGAGAAATTACCATAACTGTTCCTATGTCATCTGAGTGAAACTCTGAGGTCGAACAATTCTAGAAGATTAGAACACATTACTACCGTTTTCACAGTTTTTCACACATTACTTTTTCATTATAGTAGATTGTTTTGTTAGTATTTGCTTTGCAACAGTACAACAGTGGTTCTCAACCTTATTGTCTAAAATAAAATGAAGTTCTGACATTTTTTGATTCATGTTCTGCAGATAATGTTCCAGTCGTACGGAGACAAACAAGGTCCAGTGCACGGCATGCTAATCAACACCCCATATGTCACAAAAGATTTGCTGCAGGCTAAACGCTTCCAGGCTCAGACCCTTGGCACCACGTATGTCTATGACTTCCCTGAGATGTTCAGACAGGTGCGGTGATTCAGTTAAGATTAAACCAGTTCTCACTGTGATTGTGTATGGGATGTATTAGCTGCTCATTATTCTTCTTCTCTTTTTTTTTGTCAGGCTTTGTTTAAACTTTGGGGACCAGGAGACAGCTACCCTAAAGATGTGTTGATGTGTAATGAACTGGTCCTGGATTCTCAGGGGAGACTTGTGCAGATGAACAGACTACCAGGAGATAATGAGGTGCATCAATGAATTCTTACCATATTCCTTAAAGGGGTCATGAACTGGCTTTTTCATTTTTTTTTTTATATTGTTGTCTGAGGTCAACTTATTCAATTTGATTCATTATAGTAGTGGCATGGACCCTGCTATTCTTTAAAGGGATACTCCACTTTTTTTTGGAAATAGGCTCATTTTACAACTCCCCCAGAGTTAAACAGTTGAGTTTTACCGTTTTTGAATGCATTGACTTCCATAGTAGGAAAAAAAATATACTATGGTAGTCAATGAGACAAGAAACTGTCTGGTTACTGATATTCTTCTAAATATCAGAAAATCGGCTCAATGGATTCGAAAATGGTAAAACTCAACTGTTTAACTCTGAGGGAGTTGTAAAATGAGCCTATTTCCAAAAAAAGTGGAGTATCCCTTTAAAATTGACAACGATTTTAGAACTATATCTGTATCTTCATAGTTATCGCCCTTGGTGTGAACGGGCCTTTAAACAGTAATAATTCTCGATGGACTATTGAGGAATACTGTTCCTCAGTCATAACTAGGGAACATGCTTCCATTTCCATAATTTAGCTTGTAAAGACAAAATTGTAAATGTAAATAAATTCATTTATTAATTTAAATCAACATCTAAGTAAATGGAGCAGTCATTTGTTTGTCCTGCTTTCTAGGTTGGCATGGTGGCTTTCCGGATGAAGATGAAGACTCCAGAGTATCCAGAGGGCCGAGATATTATTGTGATCTGTAATGATATTACCTATATGATTGGCTCTTTTGGGCCCCAAGAGGATCAGCTCTTTTTACTGGCATCTGAGCTAGCCAGAGCGGAGGGGATTCCACGCATCTACATCTCAGCCAACAGCGGAGCTCGTATCGGCCTGGCAGAGGAGATCCGACACATGTTTCAGGTTGCTTGGATCGACCCTGATGACCCTTATAAGGTGACCGGATGTGTCTAAAGAGCAAACCACCGCACCTCTCAATGACACTTTCATTTAACAAATCTTGTTTGATGCACTCCTGCTTTGTTTTTCAAGCTTTTGTTCAAGACCATTCTTCTCTTTTGCCTCTGCAGGGTTTTAAGTACCTGTACCTGACTCCTCAGGACTACACCCGCATCAGTTCCTCTAATTCTGTCCACTGTCACCATGTAGAAGAGGGAGGCGAGTCCAGGTGAGCCTACTGGTTTTAGCATGCACAGAAAGACCTATACCCAAAAAACTCTTTTGGCTCTTATGTGTTGGCTCAAATAATGTTTTAGGTACATCATCACAGACATCATAGGGAAGGAAGAGGGTCTTGGCGTGGAGAATCTGAGGGGTTCAGGCACCATAGCTGGAGAAACGTCCCAGGCTTATAAGGAAATCGTCACCATCAGCATGGTGAGACCTTACATCTTCCCATATCATCAGACATTTTACAATATGCCAGAAATGTTTATCCACCAATGTTTATTGTGTACGCAATATACGATTTTGTATCAATGGTTTAGTCATCTATGACCGTTTAAGAGTATTCATTGTTCCTCTAGGTCACATGCCGTGCCATAGGAATTGGTGCGTATCTGGTACGTCTAGGACAAAGAGTAATTCAAGTGGAAAACTCCCATATCATCCTGACTGGGGCTGGAGCACTAAACAAGGTGTGGAATTTCACATCTACAGTGTCATATTTATGTGGGCTATGTTTCCTTTATTCTTGAGGATTGATGAAGCCACTTCAGTGTTTTTTAATTCTTGAAATTCTTTCATTCTGAATGCATTTCTTTTAGGTCTTGGGTCGTGAGGTCTACACCTCCAATAACCAGCTGGGAGGAGTTCAGATCATGCACAACAATGGGGTGACGCACACCACCGTGCCTGATGACTTTGAAGGGGTGCTTACTATACTACAGTGGCTATCTTACATGCCAAAGGTAGGCTCTTCAAAATAAGAAAAATATCATTTATAATTCACTATTATAAGCAAATTAAGGTTAGTTGACATTTTTTCATAACAGTCAGGTATCCCCCAAGTTCTTGTTACTGTCAATTTTAAAGGTAGTTAGTTTGTGATTTATTATTATTCTAAATAATGATTCTCAGATTCCAAACATATTGAATGTCATTGTGTGAGGTTTTTTTTATCTGCCATGATATACACTACCCTTAAAACGTCAAATACTTTTATTCAGCAAGGATGCATTAAATTGATCAAAAGTGACAGTAAAGACATTTAGAATATTTGCCGTCACAAGAATAGATTACAATCTTAAAATATATTAAAATAGAAAACCGTTTTCTTTATTGTAAAAAAATTTTTTACTGCGTTTTTGATCATATTTCAAATCTTCATGATCTTTTTAATGGTACAAATCCTGCAGTGTTACAAAAATGTCTTTTTGTAAATTTTTATGCCAATAAATAAATAAATCAAGCATTATATATATATATAGATAGATAGATAGATAGATAGATAGATAGATAGATAGATAGATAGATAGATAGATAGATAGATATACTGTAGATATAGATATAGATAGATATAGATATATGACCCAGTCATGATCTTGACAGGCTATAAGTAGTTTGGGTTTGATTAGTCCAAATGGCAGAGTATATTTTTGTATTGACTGTGTCATAGCATGTTTTTGTTGGATGTATTAACAATAAGCCCTGCTGTTATAATTTAGAACAATCAGAGTCCGGTCCCTATAATGCATCCCACTGATCCAGTGGAAAGAGAGATCGATTTTGTTCCCACAAAAGCTCCCTATGATCCTCGTTGGTTGCTTTGTGGACGACCCCATCCCGGTAAGAATCAAATTATTCACACGATCTTTTACATACATTTCAACACATACTCTGGACCGGTCTGCATGGGAGCTCATGTTGATCCTTTAAACTCAGCCTTTCTTTCTTTGAATTCGTGTTGATAGCTGAGAAGGGAGCATGGCAGAGTGGATTCTTTGACCATGGTACGTTTATGGAGGTGATGGCTACCTGGGCACAGACGGTGGTGGTTGGCCGAGCCAGGTAGGAACCAGAACATTAGATGTCAAACAAACATTTGATTTAACAGGGTGAATATTCTGAGCTGAGTGAGACTGTGAATGTCATTCAGGCTTGGTGGGATTCCTCTTGGGGTCATTGCTGTGGAGACCCGCACAGTTGAGGTTGCCATTCCAGCAGATCCAGCCAACTTAGACTCAGAGGCCAAGGTAAGTCCTGGCTGATGGTTTAGGCCCTGGCTGTGACTCCCCTCTAGGATTTTTGCTAAGCGTTCTTTTTGTTTGCTGTCCGTATGTCCCATTTATTGTTCTCAGTATTGACATAAAGTGTCTTTTCTGGCCCAGATCATTCAGCAGGCCGGTCAAGTGTGGTTCCCAGATTCTGCGTATAAAACTGCACAGGCTATTGAGGATTTCAACAGGGAGAAACTTCCACTTATGGTGTTTGCCAACTGGAGAGGCTTCTCTGGAGGCATGAAAGGTATATATCGTGGCTGGTTTCCATATTTGAGTTTGCATTTTAATTTACATGACCGTTCAAAAGTTTGAGGTCCGTAAGATTTTTTCATTTGTTTTTGAAAGAAATAATACTGCAAGGATGGGTTTATTCGATTGTTAGATTGTTACAAAAAAAAATCAATTTCAGATAAATGCGGCTCTTTTTCAAATTTATATTCATCAAAGAATCCGGAAAATAAATGTATTACTGTTTTCAACATTGATAATATTAAGAGTTTCTTGATTTAACAGCAAGGATCATGTGAATTGTATCAATATTTCACAATTTCTTACTGTATTTTTAATCAAATAAATGTGTCCTTGGTTTTCTTTGAACTTGATTGCTCTGTATATGTCAGATATGTATGACCAGGTGCTTAAGTTTGGTTCTTACATCGTGGATGCCCTGCGAGAGTTTAGCCAGCCTGTACTGGTCTACATCCCTCCTCATGCTGAGCTGAGAGGAGGATCATGGGTCGTTATCGACCCCACTATAAACCTTCAACACATGGAGCTCTATGCAGATCGAGAGAGCAGGTGAGCATGTCGATACAGCTTCCCTTCACCACTCTAAATCTTCTCTAATTCGATCTTTGATTCCTGTCTGCTTTCCAGAGGGGGTGTTCTGGAGGCCGAGGGCACTGTGGAGATAAAGTTCAGAAAGAAAGAGCTGCTAAAAACCATGCAAAGGACTGATGCTGTGTATTCTCTCCTGACTGAGCAGCTAGGTACAGCCATTAATCACACTTAAACACAAATGTTCTCAATGGCTTCTACTTCCTGTGACACACGGTTTACTGTTGTGTTTCACGTAGGCAAGCCGGAGTTATCAAGCCAGGAGCGTAAAGACTTGGAGGCCAAACTGAAGTCTAGAGAGGAGTTCCTTCTTCCCATCTACCACCAGGTGGCAGTCCAGTTTGTGGACCTTCATGACACTCCTGGAAGGATGCAGGAAAAGGGTGTCATCACGGTATAAACATAACAAAAATAAAAATTAGGCACTTATCTGTCACCCTTTTATGAAGATATTTTTTCCCCCATAGCTGTGGATCATATACTAGTGGCCTTTCTGCTTTTTAACAAGAACCAAACTGTTTCAGGACATCCTGGACTGGAAAAGCGCTAGGTCTTTCTTTTACTGGCGTCTGCGGCGACTGCTGTTGGAAGAGGTGGTGAAGGGGGAGATCATGCAGGCCAACCAGGACCTGAGCAATGGACACATACAGTCCATGTTGCGCCGCTGGTTTGTCGAGACAGAGGGGGCTGTAAAAGTAAGGAAACTTAATGTATGATAATAATGTCTCTCTCTCTCTCTCTCTCGTCAAGTCAAAAATCTTTAACAACAGCAAATTTAGAACTCTGAGAGAAGTGTACAGCAGTTATTGTTAAATGCATCTATTTTAAAAATCTGTCGATTTTTATTTTGGTAATTCAAAAATTGAATAACAAAAAATAGATCTTGATCTTAAAAAAAAATAAAAAAAATAAGTTGAAGTTAAAAGCTAAGATTACATAAACTGAAGTTACATAAAAATATTACAAAAAAACTAAAACTGATAAATTATAGAGCAACCTAACAATTAAAAAAAAATCCCCAAAAACATAAAAATAAATAATAATTGTAATATTAATAATTTCTATAATACTTCAAGATTTGCTAACTCTTAAAATGCATTTTCAACTACTAAACTTCATTTTCATCATGTGAGGTAATAGTTTGATAATGGGATCTTCTAGGCATATCTATGGGACAATAACAAAGTGGTGGTGGAGTGGCTGGAAAACCACCTTTCTCAGCAGGATGGTACACGTTCTACCATCAGAGAGAACATCAAATACTTAAAGAGGGACTACGCTCTCAAACACATCCGCAGGTAACTTTCTCTCACTTCGATAGGCATTAAGTTGCATTTTTTTTATCTCATAGATTTATAGACCATTTCACAAGATGTAAACAACACTGGTCCAGAAGCACTTCCTGTTTCAGTTTGTAACTGTTTTCTTTATTTCACATGTAAAGAAAACATCTTAAAGATGTTTGTTTAACTTTTTGATTCAGTTTTAAATGTTCTGTTGGTTGTATTTTATCCCAGCTTTTATGTAGTGTTAAAAAACTGAAACAGGAAGTGCTTCTGGACCAGTGTTGTTTACATCTTGTGAAATGGTCTATTAGCGTACATTACCGTTCAAAAAGTCGGGAGCATAAGAGAATTTGAAAGAAGATTTAAATTTTTTCCTGCACTATATGTTTAGCTTAGTTCAAGCCAACCCAGAGGTGACTATGGACTGCATCATCCACATGGCGCAGAACATCACTCCCTCACAGCGAGCCAAAGTCTGCCACCTGCTGGCCACTATGGACAATTCCACCACCAGCTGATCACATACACACCATTTCAGTTCATCTACACATAGAGGACATGTCTTTTGAGAGTCTGTAGTATAATTAAATTATGATGCTTAAGAACTTTTTTGGATCAACACATTGGTCAGTAGCCTTAAACGCACAATTTCAAATGTCCAGCAATCGCACAGTCCACTTACTCAGTTTCTGTTTGTGTGTGACTCACTTTATTAGAAACATTTCTCACATGGACAGCAGAGAATTACCTTAAACTCACTCTCAGTATATAGTATTACATATTCACGTTTGTGCCTTTGTGTCAATTTTCTTTGGATATAATCGTCGACATATGAATGTGCAATAAGCAGAAAAGACTGAATATTAGATTATTTTAGGGAATCGACAATGCTTTGAGCGCACAATTACTCTGTATGGCACTTCCTCAGGAATATATTCAACAATTATTAAGCAGAACAAACTTATTAAATCTCTATTTTTAGAGTAAAGTAGCAGTATTATATGTAAATGCAATCACTATGTAAATATCTGGGTTGTTCTTCATAAAAACTTTTATTTCTGATAAGATACAGTTGTTATGAACAAACATGACAATACAATACTGTAATGCTTAGCGAATAGTTAATGTACATTCAAATTGATAGAAATGTCATTAAACTTAGATTCATATTGAATGTACATTAATTGTTAACAATTGTTAAACATTAATACATCCTAAGTGTATGTGATTACATTAATGAAAGTTATCATAAAGCATTATGAATATTAGTGCCATTTATGTTTCAATGGCTTGAATTTTGGTTGTTTGTATGGTTTAGTTTATTTCACTTGACTGCAGGTAATTCTTCTTTTCATATTTATGAAGTCATATGTGCTGGTTATATAAATGGATAAATATGTGTTACTACTTGTGCTTGTGCTCAACTGATAATTCTGATTAAAGAAGTCGTCTTGATCAGATTTGTTGCCTTTAATCGATTTTATGTACAAGTCAGATCAAGACTAGAGCCTAAACTCTAATCTAAGTGCCTGACTGTCTCTGTTGACTGAATATCAGGATGTTTTTAAATGAAATGAATTATTATGCATTAAATAATATGTTTTCATTTTGGTGCTGTGGTAATTTTTTCAAGAAATATTTATTTTAATCTTATAAATATACATGGGTTGAGTCTTTTTGTTCAGTTGTGTACATCCTGTATATTATTCACTTCGTTTTTGCCGAATTATTCGAGCCGGCCATACTGTATTCGCAGGGTGGCATTCAATTTATGTCATATTACGTAAATTAAAAGCCAATTTGCAGTATGGTTGATCTGAAATCGGTCAGATGTTAAGAACATTTTATCCAAGTTAAATGAATACATCTTTCAATCTGAATGTGAAATTTTATTGCTTGCATTTGAAATATTTAGATATGTACAATAAAAAATGATTCATGTCACCATTTCAGCTCTTTTCATAAATATAAATAAACAAACATTAAAAGAGCAGATACAGTGTCTATCACAGTACAACAAAAGACACACAACTACAGTTACAAGGCTAACAGTTAAATGGACAAAATGAGAAGAAAACAAGTTTCTTTTATGGTACAGAAAAAAAGCTTGGCAACAAACCCACAATCATGATCCCCATTTTTTTTCTTTGTTCATTTAGTGTTGTGATATCTCGCAATTTGAATTAGGTTTATAACGAGAGCAGCACTGTAGTTAACTCTCTAAATTCTCTAAAAACACAATTGCTGATTTGGTCCTTTGCAATCCAATGCATTCAATGCAATCGATATAGTCAATGCAAATGTCACCAGCGAACACTGTTACATCACCTTAAATGCTATAGGATTAAAAAAAGATTTAAAGATCCTGCGGAGTAAAGCTCAGCTTGCTTTATTTCTTGTGGGAGCGATTAAAGCAAAACAATAGGCTTTGTTCCTCCTTGTGTGTTCATGTACTGGTTAGAAAGGGCATCTATGGCTGAGTATGAAGAGTAGAGGCCTGTCACCTGCAGGTCTGGGTAAGGCAGTCCTCCTGCATTGGACACAGGCGTGACATTGCCAGTGTCCAGGTCACAGTCAGACAGCCGAAGTGGGGAGTTACTGAGAGTACCTAATGCCTCCATGTTAAAGCTGTCATCCTTCATCTCCTCCCACAGGTTTCCTGGAATTAGAAAGTCTGTTAGATATCAGATTAAAGTGGTAAACATCCTACGATTCATTTTCAAGTTAACGTTTACCTTGCCACGTGAAGTCCATAATACTTGGATCCAGTGCGTCCACCTCTGAATTCATGTCAGTGTGAATTGTGTAGAAGTCGCTGTGTTGCTTGGCATGATGCTGGTGTTGGGAGCTGTTTGTCATGTCAGGGACGGTGTGGAGCGGGGGTGTCTGAGCTGGAGCAGGGGAGGCCGGAGCCAAGCGAGACTGATTCTGGAGGTGCAGTTGAAGGTGCTGGTGCATGGGGAGACACTGTAGAGACAGAGTGACCACTGGTTGGGGCTGCATCTGAGCTGCTATCGGAAGGGTCTGTCCTGGAGGGCAGCTGGGCAAGCGAGTCATGCCAGTATCAACAGACTTCTGTCTGCAACTCTCCGGTCTGTCTGTAATGAGTTTATCTAATTCATCTGGTAAAAGAAAAAGTAACAAAACAGGACAATTTTAATGACTGATGGTAGTTTAACGTTTACCTTTATGCTTTAGTTTCTGTACTATCCTAATCTTACCATGAACCTCTGCACAATGGTACCAAAAATATTTTTGAAAATGAAAATAGTGTATGATGGGCTCAGACTTTTTTTAGCTTCAGACTATAATTACATCCAGTCGGAGAATATCAAATATGTTTGATATTTTGAGTAGATTTTATCTCTTTTTGTGCATCTGGTAATGAGGTGCATGCTTCTGTGTGAGTTTGTTGTGTTTGGAGCGACTTGAATGCCTGGTAGGTATGCGATGCGATACTCCTTTAGTGTACGATGGCCAGTTTTTCTCTGTAACATGTACAAAGTCAGCAAGCGGATGATGCCTTGTGATCTCAAATCTGTTCCGATTTTAAAAGCTGTGTAGTGTGTATTCCAGGCTTAAATATAATCAAATTCACTGCCATGACTCTAGAGTGTTGTGGGTGGTTGTCAGAGCATTGCTATGCAGCAAGTAATTTCTGGTAGTTCTTAGTGCTTTTCTATGTTTTCAAGGATGTTGTAGGTTATTGTGTACTGTCTAAGACAAAAGAGCCCACACTGAAGTATGATATTCTGGTCCTCTGATACGGCTTGATAACCAGAATACCAGTATAAACAAAAAAAGTGTCTAGTAGTAGAAAATATTATAAAGATGACCATTATATTAACAGCAGTCAGTACAAGATGAAATTGCCTAGCACTCATAATAGTCAAGAGATTCCACACCTGGGTTGGCCATGCTGCGACGGATGGCTGGGAGATCTTTACGTTTCCATTTCTGCATCTCTTCCTCCATCTTGTCGATCTTTGCAGGATTGAGTGCCCAAAGACAGCCTTTTCTGGAGGAACCAATCATCTTGTTCTCCACCTTCTCAAAGCACTTGTTCAAGGACAGGTTGTGGCGTACAGAGTTCTTCCATCCATCAGGTGCTGTCTGTGAAACAAAGTTATCAACAATGTACTGTAAGTAACATTTATTTGATTCAGTTCATCTATTATCCAGTGTGCTTTTACATAAATTCCTCACCTTGAAATAGGGAAAGTGCTCTTTCATAAAGCTGTAGATCTCACTAACAGGAAGGCTGCCTGTTTTACTGTTCTTCAAAGCCATGGCAATCAGACAGCTGAAAATAGATCATGCCAAATGTGGTCAACTTGAAATAAATTAAATCTGGTTCCCTTCCCAGAGAATTGTAATGTTTTTTAGAGGTTTGCGCAGTGAACTTTAAGTCACCTGTAAGAATAGATGGGTTTAGGGAAAGTCTTGGGCTGCAGGTCCTGGTTGTGAGCAGTAATACGGGGCTGAGGAAACAGACTCTGGCTGTTGTAGTTGCCATAAAGTCCACCGGGAGAACACTAAGGAATATAACAAAAATGTATGTATATATTATATAATATTACTGTTTTGAGCAGTCTTTACAAATCAGACAAAATACTGAACCAACCTGTTGGTTTGCCTGAGTGAAAGTGAGCACTTGCTGAGGGGCGGTTTGATACACTGATGTGGCACAAGGAAACCCAGGGGAAAACTGGGGCATCTACAAAAACAACAGAATAAACATGAGGTTATTTTAGCTCAATTGCAAATGGTTGTTCAGTTCTGAATGATCTTGGTTGTACATTTAGTTTGAAATGCTGAATCTGAATCCTCACTCACGCTGCTGATGGCCAGAGGGCTGTGCTGCATTTCACTTTGTAGATGAATCGCAGATCCTGCTCCTCCTGCTACCGTCATGCTATTCAGCTGAGCTGTAAGTTTCAGTAAAGTGTGAGTATTCAAATCTGATTTATAAATGGAGATTCCATCCACAACTCTTTAGGCACAGCTTTCTAAAAATCTGTTATGGAGACCTCCAATGCAAAAGCCTCTAAAAGCCACCTCTGTCAAAAACTAGATAATAATATTGAGCGAATGCTTTCCGCTCATATACGATATCTATCACATACTTTCACTTCAAACTCACTAAATCCCAGTCTCAGCCCATTCAGAGATGCCGGTACTTGGGTAGAAACCTATACTGTACATAAGAACCTGATAAAAATGATAATATTAAACAAAAACTTTAGAGGCTTTTGCATTTGCATACTACAGTATATTGTATTAAAAAAACTGGGTCAAAGAAACAGTCTCAATGTTTGATAGACAACTGAGAAAGAATAAAGAAATAAGGTGCTATGCTAAGATAACAAATCGGATGTTACACATGTGGTAAGTGAATTCAGGTTGTTGTTTTTTTACTGACATTTTTACCACCGTTCGCACTAATTGTATACACAGTGCATAAATCTCCTGACCTGTCTGCCGCTCCAGCAGGCTGTTCTGAGCAGAGCTGGCGAAGTCGGGCCGCCCACCCCCTATCTGCTGAAGCCGGGGAACATCCACAGAGGTGAGCCAGGACAGGGACTGAAGATCACCAGGCAGCTCGTCCTTCAGCTGCGAAGGGTCAGTAGTCAGGAGTCTGCAAAAACATAGTATGCACTCAGTACTGAAACACAAATTTGACTAAGACAATAACATGCACTGAAACTATTGAATTGAATTTAGTTTGAAATGCTTCCAATGGTCATTGCTCATATAAAATTATATTATGTTTGGCCTACATAAACTAACTCTATTCTTTTCTTGTTTTTCTTGTCAATAGATACTAGATGAGCAAGTCTCTTGTAAATCTGTTGTTTGGGAATAGAAATAAAAATACTTTCATTCACTGATCTAATCCAGTGCAGGGAGGGTTATTTATTCAGCCATTTCTACATTTGCTCTAAGCATCAAGAGAGCAGAGAAAGCCTCTTGAATTCTCTCCAGACTTCCCTACAAACTCCCTATTCAGCCCAATAATTGGGGTCGCTATGACAACCCTCACTTTTCAGTTATTTTGTGTGTCTGGCCACTTCAGTGCCCCCCTCTCCATTAAACCAACCTCTAACCGTAGTCAGGTGACCAGTGCCTTCTTCACTGTCATTGGCTGAATCATAAGTAAACAACGCACGAGATCATTTGAAACATGGGTATGTGGCACACGTTGCCTGTAACAGTTGGTCTACCCCCATTGAAAAATGATCACCTATTGTGTCCCAAACGACAAATCTGCACAGTGGCACGTGGCTCTATTGTTCCCCCCCTCCCAGACCCTTCCTTGATTGTCTTTACCGTTTTTTTTTTTTAACCAACCCCTTGCATTAATCTACTGGAATGACAGGCCTCACACAACAGAGAAAAATAGGATGCCATCTGTTTTCCTGTCCCTTTCCACCCAACCCCTGTCCTCTTCTGCCCCATCCCCCCCGCCTGGAGGCATCAGACAGTTCCTAAGGGGGGTAGCCGGGAGGGGGTAGTTGAAGGAGTTGGAGGTCAAGCCACACTGCACACACAGTCTGCCACCTGAATAAATTACAGCATTGAAGGAAGAAGTTGGGGACGTGGCCTTGAGCACCCTGGTTGCTCCAGTTTAGAACTTCTTTACACACAGAGAGAGGGACACACTCGCAAATATGAAACCTTAGACACGAAAATGTCAACACTGCATTGTCATGTGCTTTGAAATGTCTTCCTAACGCCTGTCCCCATACAAAGACATGAAAATGACACCTTGCAAAGGGAATGGGACAGTTTAACACCTGGCTTTATGAGACCTGCATCTTTCTGATGAGTTTTAAACTGTTGCGTGCTTTCATTTAATGGCCTTCCGTTTAATAGCTTAATTTGTTTCAATTATTAGTTTTGTAAGTCAATATTAACGTAAAACATTTCGAATGTTTTATTTGGCATTGAAACGTTAGTTTTCACAAATAAACTGTTAAATGTTACCCTAAAATACTTTTAGTTTGATAGCCCTGTAAATTGTTTTGGATTAAAGTTGTGATTAATTGCCACAATTGTTGTATATTGTTGAATATATTTTATATCTATATTTTAAAACTGTTGACATAATATTATGTAAATATTGTAATAATGTTCATATTAAGTGTGTAAAATCCTAGTCTAAAAAATCTAAAACTTATTTTGACCTGACTATAGCCGACAGTTGAATGTTATCAAGAGCATCACTTGTTGTATTGCCAGACAATGGCTGTGTGTTGTAACTTCAGAAACATTTCATTTGAGGAAAGGTCATCTTACACCGGAGCTCTGAGATCGACTTATATTCTACTGATGCGCAGAAAAGAAAAAATAATAATGATGGTATTCATTATAGTACTGATTTAAAAACTGTACAGTAATTAGGAGGGGTGGGGGCTTTATTTTGGAAAGAATTCATAACATGCCACATAAACTCAAATTTAGGTTCGTCAAGAAAATAGGGCCAACATCCTTGTACGACGTATTAGCATTTCTGAAGTGCAATTGTAAACCCAGCTGTGTATTGTACAGTTTACGGTCATTAGGGTGCATTTATACAAGTGGAAGAAAAAAATGATTTTATTTGCTCATTGATGCAAACCATTACGTGTCCCAGAGAAAGGGGGAGGCGGGCGCACACAGTCACGGTTTATCACAGCTCAAGTCGCCCTCGTTTACATTCTAATTGCTAGCCACTTCTCCTTGGTGACCCGTGGGGGCCCCCTCCAAGAGCCCCAATCCCTCCGTGTGCCGACAGCGGGCGTGTAAACAGAGCTGATGCTTTCTGACAGATCCATTCAGAGCAAAGATGATGTATTCTCTCGCTCCTTTATTATTTCACAAACCCCAATTCCCTGCCTCTCAAATCACACCTTTATTTTACAGAATAGGGAAGGTGGAGATTGTATTAAGATTATCAGCGCTCTTCTTCTTCTTCCCCAAATTATCTTTTTATTCTCTAATCTGGTCAAGGTTCAAAAGCAATGAGTTCAGCCATCAAATGAAATCACCCCCTACCTGTAGTCTTGTGCGGAGGTGAGGTGACTTTGTCCAGGGTTTTCATGAATTCCCGACATCCTGCTTGTAATTCCACTTTCAATCATCTTCTGGCAGATAAAATGCAAGTAAATAAGTGAACCACGCAAAGCAGATAATAAAAGTTATTTTACAAATGTACATTTGGTACAAAGAAAACACAAATATACACATAGTACAAATGGCATTTCAACATCTGAGATAAGTTAAATGTAAAAAAAAAAAAAAGTCTGACTCGAGTTTATGACATGGCCACATAAGAACACAATGATATGAATATTTAAAAAAAAATATGCGACGCACAACAGAAACTTTGTTTATTGTTTACACTAGCTGAGGAAGAAAATATTACATTTTAAAAATGAATAAAAGAATTTTATATTTTACAATTCAGTGTTGATGTGATGTTTGTTTTGTTGACTATACAGGGGTCATCATATTCAGACGTCATCAGTCACCGTGAAGGCTAGTAGCACTACCTGTCAGTCTGCTCGCGCGTCTCAATAACCTAATTTATTTAATCTCATCAGTGTTGTATTCAACAGAAAACGTTAAATATTTCTTAGAAATAGCCGAGAAACGTTTTTCAAAACACCGGGTGATAATTAAAGTTAATTAACATCAATGTTCAGGCTGTAACATTATAATATGTCAGTCCGTAACAGGTGTGCAGACTCTTGACTTATTTAAAATCAACTAATAAAAACACGAGATAACCAGCATCTTACCTGTTTCTGCTGAAATTGTTCTGTGGTATAGAAAATCTTGGGTGAGGAGACGGAAGAAGGCTCTACTGTTGGTCGGGGCACTTGTTGTCCCGCAAGAAAAAAACCGTTTTTTAAATTTCCCTCGTCCGTGCGGTTCGCTCTGACGGTCATGCGCACTGTGTGCACACGCAGCGCGAGCCGTGACGAAGGGAGGGGGTCTCGTGCTCTGCCTCTGACTGACAGCTGTTGCCTCGCCTCCACAAATCACGCAGATTATCTGTCAGAGCATCTCACCTAAGTTACTGGTTTCCAGTGTTTTTAATTGAATCAATACTTTTCTTCTTCAGAGACACTTGTTTTTCCTCCGTGTTTTCTAGTTTGTGCAGTTAGTCCAGGCGCGTCTTTTCAAGTCCGGTACAACTTCTCTGACACAAAAATAGAAATATAAAGTTGAGAGTTTAGACAAAATCCTCAGTTTCTACTGGAGGCATCGTTTTATAGCCTAGTAGAGTCCTTTAAACTGAGAGAAAACGAATATAAACTCCTAAAATCCAGAGACCTCTAACAAGTTCAGCAGTGATTTCCATGATGTTCCCTGTAGCCACTGGCAACGTAAAATAATACAAATAACAGCTCCTGATAGTATTGTTCACCTATCTAGCCTATATAGAACCCATTTTTCTTTAAAAGACCTAAATAAAGACACATCCTCTCCGTGCGGTTCTGTGAGCTGTTCTGTCCTAATAGCTTTAGTTGAATCTACTGCTCGTGATTTAACCGCCTTTAAAGCCGCGTCGTTTGCTTACACTCCAGCGGGAAAAACGCACAGAGTGGCGCGCGCTGGAGATGACAGATATCACACAGATATGACAGGCTCGCCTCCTGGTAGAAAATGTAACAGCATGCAGTGAGTTAATAGCTCCCATGTGAAATAAATATGAAAGACAGCAAATAATGATATTGATGGAACATAAAGTGTTTTAAAATCGTTTACAGTTTTATTGAACTTAGAAAGGTTTTAGAACCTAGAAACAAATGAATGCACATAGGCCTATCTAATTATCATAGCGCTGCGTATAATTACAGGTGTTATTGTATTTAATAAGATTACCGTTCAATATGCTATTCATTTTTGTACAAAGTATAAGTGGATAGTGGAGAAAGCAATCCAGAATAAAAGGTTAAAAAAAGAAAAAAAAGTCACAGTTGTATCTATTTGTCTTTAACTTGAGGAAACTTTTTGAAATTTGAAATATAGGTTTCAATTCCTGTGGGAAGTGATCCGGCCGGTGTCATTAATTGACTTGAACCACATGGGACACTACAGATGGTAAATCGCGAAGTACAATCAATGCGCACTTGCAACGGACAAAAAGACGCTCCCAGAGAAAGAGTGCGGGGTCCTAAAGCCCGTGTGTGTGGTTCACCAACTACACAGCATGTAGGCTACTATTTACAAAGTTTGTAATGTTAATGGAATGCTAGCCTATACAAAAACCTATTTTTTAAAATCATTTTAGATTAAAGTCCAAAAGCATCACATTTGATTTCAATCCACTGTTTAATCCATTATTTTAGTTAGTTATATAGGCTATATTTTTGAGTTTTATTTTTCATTCAATGTTTATTTAATATACATTATTTTAGTATTATGTGCATGGTGGTGTTTTATAGGTCTGTTTGTTTGCCTGACACTGTGCACCACTGTGCATCAATGTTTATATGTGAATAGATGCCTAAATTAAATCTGTTCAATGCTTAAAGTGATTGTGTTTCTTCAGAAAATTTGGACTAAACTGCTCAATTCATATGGATTATGAATATTTATGAACTTTTTGAAGCATCAAAATGGTAGTTGCGTAAATGTCAACGGAGGGACATGATGACATGACACTCTCAGATTTCATCAAACAGATCTTCATTTGTAGTATAAGGAAATCCAAGGCACTCTTCTTAGGAATTTATAAAAAGCCTTTATTTGACTGGCTATTTTATAATAGAAAATGGAAAAAAAAAAAAAAAAAAAAACATGGGGGGAAAAAAACAACTCACACGTAGCGGCACAAACAGCCTTCTTCAGGGTTCTGAAGACAAATTAAAGTCTTATAATATAAATATGATATCTAGTCTTAGATAGATAGACTATCTAGATAGTCTTATAATATTTGAATAATGACATGAGGGTGAGTAATTAATGACAGAATTTTTTTTTTTTTTTTTTTTTTTTGTGGATGAACTTCAACTAACCCTTTAAAGTACAGATACCTACAGTGTAAATGACTCGATTACAAGTTACCAATTTCGAAACTTGAGTAAAAGTCTTATCGTAGAGTACTGATTTTGTATGTGAGTAAAGGCAAAACACACAAGAAATAGTACCTTCGATGCTGTAGATGGCGATAGTGTTTCTTTTGTATCAGATATAAACTGCTGCAGAAGAAGTTATGCGTGTAATTGCATTACTCATTACAAATGTATTGGGGTAAAGAGAACACATGCTATTATTCAATCGTATAGTCAAGCAAAGACTAAAGTCGCCAATATCTTAAAGTACAAAGTAGCAAAAAAGATAGGCCTATAAGTACAGTAACTAAATGTATTTACTCGAATACCATACTGGTATTAGCTACTTCAGATTATGGAAATGTATCTTGTGGTGAACTTTGATGCGTCTAGTGGCTTCTCTGTACCAACACTGGTAGTTGTCAGTATGTTAAAGGTAAAACAGATTTTAGATGTTCCCTTTTCATATTGTTTACTAAAACTGTCATTCTGCATTTAACTGAAGCTTACCAGCAGTTTTAGGATTGTCTTTTGACAAACTGGTTCATACATTTGCCATAAAGAAGTCACAACACTGTTCATCACTTGTAGAGTGATGTCATCACTCCTGTTCTAACCTCCATTGGTTCTTTCTGTTTCCCAGACTAATGTGATGACTCTGAGGGACCCTGAGTTACCCTTTGGACGACTGTCTCCCAGACTGAACCCAGGATGACACTGGACCACAGCAGAGGAAGAGCCTAAAGCATTGTCTAAAGAAGATCTGTCTCCGAAGGGTCAGAGGGTTCAATAGGAAACCTTATAGAAGCTTCAGTGAGTAATGATTAACAACAGCTCCGCTGAGATGAGTTATGAAGAAAGCATCTGAAACATGTTAGCAACAGGTTTTACACTCAAAGTCTCAAATTTTCTCACTCTCGTGTCATTTCAAAAGGGTGAGACTGTTTATTTTTTCTTTGAAACACAAAAATGGGGTAAAAACAATATTGATATACTGATATTTATATGGCCAAGGCAAGAAGTAAGGTGAAATTCTGATTGCATTGTAAATCAATAGACTATCAGACTACTTTAAATGCACATAATATATCAATTGCAGCTCCAATAATGTCTTGCTAAGATTATATTTGAATGCACAGTTTTATTATCAAAACTAGTTTTTAATTGTGCAGGGACAAAACATAAATTAGAATGAAATGATGATTGAGAAACATTCCTCAAAAGCCTGATCATATTCGATACTCACATTTTAACATGATTTTTCTGAAAATGACATGGATAATCATGTAAACCAAAGTTGCTCTGGTCCAGTAGGAGTTCATTTAAAAATATAAATAATAACATTATCTATACCTGTTATCTCTACAGTTATAAATCAGTAAAGACTTAACAGAAAAATACACATGTATGATCTGAGGGTGGGTGGACACTGGACACTTTTATAATTATACTAAAAGTCTTTATTAAACTACCTGAATAAGGGGAGGTGGGGAAAGAATTTATAACACTGCAGGTAACTAAACTCTGTGCGATGATTTATCATATAACAAGATTTAATATGTTTGTTAAACATGATCACACTTTACACCGTGATTGCTAATATTAATACATCACTGAATGCATTCCCATACATTGAAAACATTTGTAACTCTCAAATTAATTGAATGGGCCCCCTTGTGTTAGTGGTCACCTCCTATTCTTCTGTTTCTGTTCTGACCTCGAAAGTTCCAGTTCAAACACCACGTCTTGGGGGTCGCCAAACAGGTCACCTCTTGACCTTTGGCCATATTAGCAGGTCATGGCTGTTCTAAATTCTGACAGGGAGAGTAAATGAAAGCTTTCTTCTCTCTGCTATTCATTGAACACCTTTAAAAACGACTTGTCGTCCCACTTGGCTTATGTCAAAACGGTTGTCTTTTGGTTGATTTGTTTGAAGATGCCTCGGGCGACCTGTAAAAGTGTATTTCAGGAACACTCACAATGGCATGTGGAGAGCATCTATCAACTGAAAAGCCACTTCAGATACTTCTTTGGTAAGTCCAGAAGCTTTTATTAAATATTCATTAATTAAAATTAAACCAATAAGAATATGATGATTACTATTAGAACGATAATCTTTTCTAGTCATTGTCATTTCTGGCTCAAACTGCTCAGCAAGAAGTGAACAGCAAAAAAAAAAAAAAAACCTGATGAAACACAGCTAATGCTGAGAAAAGAGAACATGAAAACGAGAGAGTGAGGTGGGACTTTCGGTGGGAACGCGGCAAAGCCGGTGTTATAATACACCCTTATTCTCCGCTTGGAATCTCTAATGGGAAAATCAAGTGCTGTGACTCCTGTATAATAGGATTTGCCGGGTCTCGTGCTGCATCAGGGCCCAGTGGGCAGCACAAAGCCTGTTAAGGCTGGACAAGCATTACTAGAAAGGGGGGTGTGGAGCAGAACGGGCCTGTGGTGTAAGGGGGCGAAGGTAGCCTTGACAACAGAGGTTGTGAATGGGACAACTGTACCTTTACAGTGCAATGGCCTCGCTGTTTGCAATACATGCACAACTATAAGGCCATTTGATGAAAGCAAACAATTATTTGGAACAGAGTTTAAAGGAATATTCCAGGTTCAGAACAAGTTAAAGGTGTGTTCCCCCTTGTGAGGAACACAAAAGAAGATATTTTGAAAAATGTTGGTCATCAAACAGTTTTGGTGACCACTGACTTTCATTGTATGAACAAACATTTCTCAATATATCTTCTTTTAATATTGCAGAAGAAATCTTTAAAAAAAAAAAAAACAGCAACAAACTTGGTTACAGTGAGGTGCTTACATTCATTAGTTAACACTCACTTTTTCCACAAGCCATAAAACAATATGGGCCGTATTTTTACAATCAAAGCACATAGTCTAAAGCGCACGGCGACTGATTCCTGCACAAATCTACTAGCTAGTTTGATGACAGGAAAAATGGTCAGTGTGCCCAGCGCATGCTCTAAAAGGATTGTCCCTATTTTCTTAATGAGTAATGGATGTGATTTGGGCGTAACGTGCATCATAGACTCATTTCCTATTCCCTTTAAAAGCCAGTTGCGCCAACGTCATGGCAGATTCGCTATTTACATGGCGGAAAAGACTGAAAGTGTCTCCAGAGACGAAACGGATCTGCTCGTGCGTGAGGTTAAAGTGCGCAAGCAGACTATCTACGGGACACCATCTTTATGTTCACAATAATAGTCTTTTACATTGTAATCCTTTTATTTTGAATATTTGGCATGTTTGGGTGCAGCTGCGCGCATCACAGTAGAGTGCACATGCATTGTGGACCCGCCTATTGGCGCATATTACTAATGCGCCCTTTAAATAACAACAAAAAAATACTAGGCCATTGACATTAGACCAGGTTTTTGTTGATCAATGGTGCAGTCTATTTCAGTTGCCTCAAAATAGCAAGACATGATGATAACTGATAAGAAA